GAAGCGTTGGAAGTGGATAAGACATATATTAAGGAAAGTACCCAATTGTGGCACAGGACAAGCTCTCACTTAGGATCCTCAAGGTCAAAGAAGAAGACCAATAAACACAATATGTCGATAAATGAAGACAGACATGAAAAGAATGAACAACAACTGGATAGAACTAGGACGGATGCCAAGCGACTAAGTAGGTTTCAATCGTTGATGAAAAGATAATTGGATGGCCGAAAATTGTTCAAAATAGGTGAAATAAGGTGAACGATACTAGGTTCAAATCCTGAAGGAAGAGTCAAATCAGAAAGAAATACACATGTTGGATTCTAATGCTAGTCACATTTCATGAATTTTGTATAAACATGTCCCATTAACACTATATATCGAGGTAATTTGTACAGAATGTACATATATACCAATTAGGATTGGTGTAAATTCAGTAAAATGATCAAAAACGGAGTTATCTAAATTGTTATCAATTAAATTCGTAAATTATCGTCTTCGATACACCTTCAATAGAATGGAAATTTGATTGTCGATATCTTCTTCTGAGTTTAATTTTCTGACTTTACTGATTAGTCAAGGGATCATCTTTAGTCTGGGTTATTTTGCACCTGTTCACTTACGGAATTCGAGGAAAATTTTGACAGAATATAACATAAGTAATTCAGATATTCTCAACCCATATATATAGTAGACTTAATTAGCCTGAATATTTTGCGAGGTAATAAAGTAATGTGTGAAGGGTTAGTCGTAGAGATAAGAGGGATGTTAGGGGATGTAGGAAGGATTTAATTATGACCAATTTGGTCTCACGTGCTCTAACGGGTATGAGAGTGAATGTCACTTTCTGGGCTGCCTACAACATGGAAGGATGTTTCTTGAGGAACCTGAAAAAGAAAATCTGATTAGCGGTGGTCTTAGAGACCTGGGATCGTGACCGCAGAACCCAACGGACAAGTGCTTGAGGTCGGTCAGTGGTTTTATAAAAATTCAACACATTCAACCAGTTAATGACTCATTGTAAATGAAAATTCAATTATGTGAACGATTATAAGAACCTGGATGACTAAAACACACAGATTATTTACACAATATCATGTACATACATATTTATCAATCCAATTATGTGATAAGTAATTGTCATATGTTTCTGTGTTGCACAAATGTAAATAGATTAAGGTATACACATTTTAATTCAAATGACGGACTGATCTATGTGTTCAATCACTATTGGTAACCTGGATGCGCTACATGGCAATTTCTACTTAGTTTGAGGAGACAATCCGAAATGACAATGAATACCTACTGTAGTGTGTCGTTTTATTGCGTGTTCTTAAGCTCGGTAATTAACTCGTCCAGACAATCGTTACTAAATAGTGTCTGACGGTCAGAAGGTGAACTTGTAGTGATGAATGCGATTATTTGGAACACACCACAAAGCGAAGCGAAGAAACAGTGAATAAAACGAATGAAGCGACGTGAATTGGAGAAGGCTGTTGAGCCAACTCCTAGGATGACAATGCGAACGAATGGGCAAAGGAAGCGATGTGGAGAAGGCTAATGAGCCAACTCAGAGAGATAAAGCGTGACTAAGAATATATAGTCAGACGAAAATAAGACAGACATATGACAAGCGAAATAGGCACACATGAATAAAAGCGACGAATAGTGTTGACAAGGTCAAATGACAAGTGGGACACGTCATGTGAGCTCATACAAACTAGACAATGATAAGAAGGAATGGTACATATAAATTGTTGCAAAACAAATGGCTTGGTTAAATAAATCAATCGGAACGGCTTAACCAAATTAATTGTAAGCGAACTCGAAAATATATGTGGAGGCACTACACTACTGTCCTACAAGGGGCAAACGAATTCAAGAGTAATTCAATCACTTGCATGAATAGTTGATATGGTTGTTTTGATCATTTGAAAATACTTTATAATTTTACAATACAATTCATATAAGTAGTAGACTTAAAAAATAGTCGAAGGTTCATTTCTGAAAATTTTATGTAGTAGTCAATTTTTTAAATGAACAAACGAATAATATTACTCACTTTTGAATTGATAATCTAAGAAGTTTATGATTACGACTTTTCTGGTGTTTATATCGAAGGTTATAATGAATGTAACGCTCATCTAACTCTCCAGTACTTAATTAAACAAAAATAATTCAAGTTGACCCGTTACAGTTTTTAATTAAAAAAAATTGAACTACTTATAAGTAGTATAATCTTTGTAAAACAAAAAATAGTGTTGTTATCACAAAAAACAACTTTGTAGACATACCTCAACATTTTCTTTACAATTACATTGCCCATCAATAGGATTGCATGGTACAACTGTATCTGAGATAGATAAATTTGTCCATAAAGTACCACGCATATCACAGTTGCATTTTCTACAATTAGGATAACCATAATAACCTATACTGCATTGATTACATGCACGACCGGCAAATTCTGTTTTACATGTACATTGACCTGTCATCAAATCACATTGGTCATCAAGACCGATAACAGAACCATCTATGGAACAATTACATTTCTATCGTTTAAAAATAGAGAAAATAGAGAGGAGGAAACATTAAAAAATAGTGATTGATTGAATTGTATGGAGTATCAGTGCATAAAACAGCCTAATTAAAAAATATATATGTGGATGATTTAGTCAGTCAGTCAGTCGATAAAACTAACTAACTGACTGCGTAGACTGATTACGTAGAACTTCGTACGTATGAACACCAGTTCAAGTTGCTATACTACATTAGCTTAGCATAAATAATTTTTTCTCAACCAGAAAAATTCAACACAATCTAATATCACATGTCTGCCCTATAGATCAAGCTGATTATACATATAAGCTGACTTAAACTCTGTAATTATTATTTTAAGAGCATATTATTATTATTATTATTATTATTGTCATTTACAGTTGGTCGAAGTTAGACACCGACTGAGTGATCTGGAGGTTGGGCGTTCGCGGGGAAGACCGAAGGTCCTAGGATCGAGTCCTGAAGGGTGCAGGAGACGTGGATGCGCACTACCACTGATGAGTCCCATACTAGGACGAAACGGCCATTGCCCAGTGCTTCCAGGTTTCTAGTGGTAGTCTAACATTAATCGATTCATGATTTCGAGGAATTAATGAATCGTTGAATTGTGACCATTAACATGTATGTGATGAGTTGCTTTGCAATGATCGGATTCGATCGATCGATATCACATATTCAAAGGTGAAACAACTTTAAATGTTTAATTCATAATCAAGCAGATCCAAAATGTCTTTCATATAAGAATTATGTTCTAATTTCAATTTGTGATGACTAGAAAGCTTATAACACTGAGAAGCAATATATATCACCTAGATAGTGTTAGGATATACATCCAATATCCTAAGAGAATTATTGGTCAATTCCTATCGGTTAATTCCGACTGGTCAATTTTACGATCGTCCTAGATATCAATGTCACGTGCTTCAATATTGTTTCTTATTGGTTTTCCTGACTATCAATGTCACTTCAAATGTTGCTTCTTATTGGTCGTTCTAACTGTCAATGTCACAGAATTCGATGCTGTTTCTCATTCGACCAAAATGTATATATACGCATTATCTGTAACGTTTTATGACCACAACAAGGACCCGGTCCCAGATCCCTAGTCCGAGATCCTGATTCTCTTCTGAACTCGGACCTCGTACTTTCTGGATGCTTGTAGAATACAGGTTCTACTTCATATCGTCTTCTTATTTTTACTCAATATGGGTGTTGGAACACTCGGATTAAAGTAGCATGTCGTGTCACCAAGTCCTCGATCCCCGCTCTCATTTCCCAACTAAGGCAAACTCATATTAATTGAAGCGCATCAAAATGACGTGTTTACGTGCAGGCGTAACAAATAGTTACTTTTTAAACGATTCTGATATGATGTAATATTTCACATTACTATTTATTGAAATCATTATTCGGTCCATCATGAGAAGTATAGAAGCACTAGACTAGCATGGGAGTCATCAGAAGTGAGTATCTACGACCCCCGCACGCTGTGGTCGAATTCTGGACCGTCGGTTTCGTGCGTGAATGCATATTCTATAGATTGAGTCTCTCATGCGGGGTCGTGGATAGGTACTGCTAATAAATTCCATATTGCGATCAAAAGGTCATTCAGAGCTTCCACGTTTCCAATGGTGGTCTAATATTGATCGATTCATTATTTCAATGAAACTCAACAACATGCAGAACCTTACAATAAAAATTATCATGTGCTCAACAGTGACTAGATCGGGTGAGGAAGTTTCTCCGAGTTCTTGTGAGTAATCGGGACTAATGGAATTCAATCCTGTCGGATGTGAAGCAGTGCTCACTGAAGACAGTGAATGACGTTGCGTAAGACTGTGGATTGATTAAAGTTACACAGTAACACCGTCGAATACTGGCTCAGTGGTTTAGAGATTAGGTGTTCTCACAGGAAACCGAAAGTCGAATGTCGTGGATGCCCACTGCTGACGAGTCCATTATAAGGACGAAACGACTGTCCAGGCTGTCCATGAAAATCACTATGTATGTCATTAGTAAAGAAAGTACTCCTTGTCTTCATAATCACATTTAAGTAACTAGACACCATAGTTAAGTACTGATATCTCAAATAAAATAACGACATGATTAATCTCTGATTGAATACAAACTTATATGATTACCGTTAATGGACGAAACTATTTTAAATTACTGTTTTTCAGTGACTGGGTATTATTAATCAACTGTCATTCTAACTTATACATAATTCTTCGACGGAATATTAACTTTGACACTAGAACAATTTATCCTACAATATAAAACGTAGCAGATTGAACTTAATTAAACAACCAGTGAAAAATACACAAACTACTGAAAAACTCTTGTAAGTAGTGTGGATGCATAACCTTACTAGGAACTGAGCTTAGAACTCAAAACGCCAAGACCACAGAAATAGTCATATAGAGTTCAAAAAATGTTCTTTGCATATATATATATATATATATATATATATATATATATATATATATATATATATTCTCCCCGTACTCATAATACTACTAAAATAAAATGATCAAAACTAACTTTACAACCAATCACTGGATTATAATCCCATGAACCAGGCATACATTTATCACATCGATCACCTTCAGTATTTGGTGGACAAATACATTTCCCAGTGATTTGATCACATACTTGACCATTTGGACAAGGTAAACATGCTGTAAAAAAATAAATTTTTCAAAGAAAATATTATTTGATTATATAACAGATCAATGGGAAAAAATGTGGATGAACTTCTTTGAAGAAAATGGTAAAACATCACATATATTTGAATTTGTTCACGTTTGCAATTTGGTTTGGCCACCTTTGATTAATTTATTAGAACAGAGAGGGATCATTCGTGTATAGTAATCAACAACCAAGTAAGCAATGCTGTCGTTAAGAAACGAGTACTAGGTAAGGATGGCAAATCAGTAGATGAAGCATTGAAACTTCATCAGTTGAGGAGGTGTTTGGAACATGTGTTACGAATGCCTAAACACCGACTGCCTCGATGAGCTTTGTTTTGTGATGTAGGAGTAGGTTGAAAGAAAGCTAAGGGCGGCCAAACCAAATCCATGATATTATTGACAAGTGGACTGATTCATGTTGGTAGATGTCGACTACCTGGTTGGGGTCCATGAGAAGAAAGTCACCAATCGTTAGAGACCTTGAACGACATGACTCAAAATCGTTTGCAATGGCGCAAGTGCATCCATTCATTGTGCTCTCTCAAATCCTAATCTTCTGGAATCGTCACCACTTCTACCTTTGTCTTTCTAACCTTATCTCACTGAATTATACTTCTTGAATAATATCTTCAAACCCTGGTCTTCTTCATTACCATTAATACCTCTGCTATCTCTACTATCACTATGGGATTTGATTTGACATTTGCGTCTCTGTGCTAATCTGTTGGTATGGCAACATGAACTGATGTACTTACGTACGAAGTTCTACGTTGCAGCTGACTGACTAACTGACACACTGACTGTACCATTGGGCTTCAATTATTGTCGCGCTCGTATGAACAGGCATGATTAAGTATGGCTTATCGCCTACGTACATATTCATTCCATTCGCTTTCATGCTAGTCGCTTAAATATTTCAACGATTGATTCATTTCCCTCAGTTCACATATATGTACATATTAATCCTACTCACGAGTACGTTCATTGGCTCGCCAACTAGACAGAGCTCACTGACTTGCTCGTCAGCACTCGCATACACAATGAATTTCATTCCTTAACCAAATGAAGTTTCGTTGTCAGTAATTCTGTTTTTTTTTGTAGAAAATTTTGAAATTAGGTCATTTGAAACATGGCTTGTTTACATTCATATAGATAAAGCAGTAGTTTACCTGTTGATTAAAACGGATCATTGCACAGTTGGATTGACAGATTTAATGATGTCAGTACTATTCAGAGCAAGTAAATATGTAAGTAATTAAGTAAGTAAGTAAGTAAGTAAGTAAGTGCATAAGTAAGTAAGTAAGTAAGTGCATAAGTAAGTGCATAAGTAAGTAAGTAAGTAAGTAAGTAAGTAAGTAAGTAAGTAAGTAAGTAAGTAAGTATGTAAGTAAGTAAGTAAGTAAGTAAGTGCATAAGTAAGTAAGTAAGTGAGTAAGTAAGTAAGTAAGTAAATAAGGGAGTAAGGGAGTATGTAAGTAAGTAAGTAAGAATGACAATTACATAAGTTAGTGCATAAGTAAGTAAGTAAGTAAGTATGTAATTAAGTAAGTAAGTAAGTAAGTAAGTGTATAAGTAAGTAAGTAAGTAAGTAGGTGCATAAGTAAGTAAGTAAGTAAGTAGGTGTTGGGGATGTTAGATCCCCAGAACTCGCTTCATAAATAATGTCCTAATTTTGGATTTTATTCATGGGCTGATCAGTTGACCTTGAGATCACATTTCCGACCAGCAAAATACTTGGCTGTGATTGGTTACTGTGTTATTTTAGTGTGTTATTTTTGTGACTCTCTCAAGAATGTTCCTATGATGTATAAATAAGCGTGATTTATGTGCTTGGATTCACTGTATGCTGGCTGGGTATTTGTAGAATACACTTCCTAGACTAGATCAAGACTTCTTGCTAGTACATTTGGGTCAAGGGATCATAGTAGCCTACCTAGACGCTGGTTCATTGTTTCGTTGTCGTTTATCGACTAAGGTGAACACGTAATAGTTTAAGCTAGTGTAACAAGTGTAACATATACATATGTACATTTTAATCCTACTCACCAGTGCATTCACTGGCTCGCCAACTAGACAGAGCTCATTGGCTTGCTCTTCAGTACTCTCATGTCATTTTCACTTTCGCGTCATAAGCCTGTGGTTGTTGTTATCTGTTTGTGGTGCGATAATAAACCTAATCAACGCTTCGTATTCGTATTTTGTATTTTATACTGTAGGGTTCGTCACTAGGTACGCTTGATGCTATTACGACGAGTTCACCTTAGTCGATAAACGCGAACGAGACAATGAACCAGCATCCAGGTAGGCTACCTTGAATCCCAAGCTAAAGATAGAAGGCTTTGTAAGCGTAGAAAGTATATTCTACAAACACCCAGCAATCACAATACAATCAAGCACACGAATCTCGTTTATTTAAACATCGTAGAAACGTCCTTGGGACAGTTATGAAAATAGCACACTAAAATACACAGCAGCCAATCACAGCGATGGATTTTCCTGGTGGGAAATGAAATCTCAAGGTCAACTGATCAGCCCATGCTGGCAAACGTGAAATCCAAGATAAGGCATTTATCAAGCGAATTTTGGGGATCTAACATCCCCAACATATACATCTGTTGGGCGTTATCTGGCGATGGTTATCAGGACGAGAGTAGTATACGGAGTTTAGGAATTATACCGAATACCTATCGCCACAGAACTAGTAAGCCTACATCCACCACACATTATCAGTTTCTTTTGACAAAGTTCATATGAAAAAAATTCGTACAGTATCAAAACTGAATGATTACTATTCACTAATTGACTTGTTGTTACATAATGAATTTCGTACTTAAACAAATGAAGGTTCGTTGTCAATTTGTTATGATATTCATCCAATATCCTAAGAGCATTGTTGGTCAATTCCTATTGGTTAATTCCTAATGGTCAATTTTATGGTCGTCTTAACTGTCAATGTCACAGACTTCGATGTTGTTTCCTATTCGACCTAAATGTATAAATACGCATTATCTGTAAGGTTTTATGACGCAGGCCCGGATCCCTAGTCCGGGATCCTGATACTCTTCTGGACTCGGACCTCGTACTTTCTGGATGCTTGTATAGAATACATGTTCTACTTCATATAAACTCTTCTTCTCCTATTCAATGGGGGTTTGGGACAATCGGATTAGAGTAGCATGTCGTGTCGCCAGATCCTAGATCCTCGCTCTCGTTTTCCGACTAAGTTGAACTCGTAATAGTTCAAACATATCAAATGACATATTGACGTCCATGCGTAATAGTTGTACTAAAGTAGTATGTTACTTTGCGTTGATCGAGAAACCGCCCAAAATAAAGGTGCAAACAACGTTAAGTTTAAAGTCAATAACAACCAATCAAGATCGAAGTGAACAGAAGAAGCAACGAGTTTCATATGTGGAGAAATTCGAATACTTCAGTTCTTCAATCTGAAATTTGTGCTGACAGTGTCATTGTTGTATTCAGAAGTAGAACAATAAAAGCTCCACAACCAAAACAACATCCAACTCAGAGAATGAAACTCCATGATTAGGTCCCCACCTACATTACAATAAATAATCAACACAACAGTGTATATATTTTGAAAAATCCACCAACACAATTACTTACGTTTACAACCTGATTCAGAAACACCAAAATAGCCTAATTCACATTCTGTACAATCTCTTCCAATCACATGTGCTGTACATTTACACTGACCAGTATTCATATCACATTCAGTGTATTGATTCAATGTTTTTGTTAATTCAGTTCCAATGCCACAATTACACGGTAAACAATTGGATCCAGTTACATTCCAATAAAATCCAGGCTATAATTTAAAAAAAACATTAAATTAGAAATGCATTCTTTGTGTTTGGAATAGATAGAGTTCAGAGAAGCTTTCAAGGACGCCTAAAAGGAGGCCAATAGGCTTTCAACCAATCACAGTTGAATGGAATTTCTTAAAAATTCTGATGTGACATGAGATGATGAGTGCTTATGCTCCTACACTTAATATGCTTGAAACTACTATTACGAGTTCACTTTAGTTGATAAACGAGAACGAGATAATGAACCAGTGACAGAATAGGCTATTCCGACGAAAAAGTCTTGATATTTGACGTAGAAAGTGTATTCTACAAATACCCAGCCAGCATACAATGATCTCAAACACACAAATCGCGTTTATTTATACATCATGGAAACATCCTTGGGAGAGTCACAGAAATAGCATACTAAAATAACATATCAACCAATGACAGCCAAGGATTTTCCCGGTGAGAAATGTGATCTCAAGGTCAACTAATCAGCACATGAATAAAATTCCAAAATCTAAAGTCCTCAATAATTAGACAATTGTGTAACATCGCTATTTGTGGGCTTCTGTATCTTTCTGCCTTTTGGTTTGAGACCTAAATGGTGGGGGCGGTTCTACAGGTCCTCGAGCTAAAGGTTGAATTATGTATATCAGCCATTCTGGTAGCACTCATAACAATCACATGAGCCGATAAACGTGGGGAATTAAAAACCATGTTCACCACTCGCAAACAAAACACAGAGTTGAAACTGCTTGCAAAATATTGCAAAGAAATTGTCAAGGAAGAATTCTTAGGCTTATAGACGCTTTGGCTGTTCGTAACTTCAACTAACTACCTGCCCTTTAGGTGTATAGAAACAATCGGTCGTAATCTTCAATCGGCCCTGGTGATCTTTAAACCATCTGAAGGAATAGAGTAATGGGGCAGTTTCCCATTCTTTCCATTGTATGTTAATTTTCTCTCTCCTTCATTTACAGTTAACCCTTTTATCCCAGTATAGGGTTGTGACGATTGTCAGAATAGGCCATTCTGACGAAAGTGTATTCTACAAACACCCAGCAAGCATACAATGATCTCAAACACACAAATCTCGTTTATTTATACATCATGGAAACGTCCTTGAGAGAGTCACAAAAATAGCACACTAAAATAAAACATCAACCAATCATAACCAAGGATTTTCCTGGTGGGAAATCTGATTTCAAGGTCAATCGAACAGCCCATGGATAAAATCCAGAAAACTAAGACATTCATCAAGCGAGTTCTGGGGATCTAACGTCCTTAACAATTAGACAATTGTGTAACATCGCTATTTCTGTTTCGTTCTGCTTTTTGATTTGCGACCTAGGGGAAGGGACGGTTCTACTAGTTCTAGTGTTGAAGGTTGAACTGTGTGCATCAGTCAGTCTGATTGCATACATAGCAATCAAACGGTATGTAAACATCAGGAATGCAGAACTATGTTCACCACCGAGAACAAAATACATAATTGAAACTGCATTTAAAAAATATTGTAATGAGTAACCGTTTCGTCTTAGTATGGGACTCATCAGCTGACTCACCCACCAACCCTGCTCATGGAAATCGAACCCGAAGACCTTGGTCTGACGCGCAAACTTGTAACCTATATACCACTGAGTCAGTATCCAACAGTGTTTATGTCCAACTTCAATCAATCCACGGTCTTGCACAAACCTCATCCACTATTTTTGATTATTTTCAATTATTCTAACTTTTATTCAACTGATCTTTGCTGAATTTTCACATGAAATGCCTTGCTTGACAAGTAAGTAGGTAGGCAATTAGATTAACTCCATCTTCAACATATTTTTGTCAAAAGAAAGAACTATGATCTACCGTTATTTATTGATAATAAAACTTTTTATTTCATCATTAATCTTACCAAACATTTGTCACATGTATCTCCGATAACATTTTCACCACAATTACATTGACCAGTGATTGGATTACATGTTCGATCAATTGCTCGTGAAGTACATTTGCATTCTTTGAAATAAACAAAAAAATCAGAATAATGATCAGGTTAAAATTGTTTTTTTAGTTAAAAATTAGAATTATGGAGAGTAATGTGTATGTGTGTGCAAGATCGAAGGTCCTCGGTTCGAATCCTGCGAGGTGCAAAAGTCGTGGATGCGCACTGCCACTGATGAATTCCATACTAGGACGAAACGCATGTCGTCCAGCGCTTTCAGGTCTCTAATGTGGTAGTCTAACAATGATTGAATGTTAAATATTTTTCTGTTATCTAAAAGTGTTGCTCTTTATGCTTGTTTAAGTATAATGAAATGAAGTTTATACTGTGATTTGTAAAATTTATATTCATTCTAATTGGTGGGAAGATCATAATACACTGATGACCTTGATGGGTCAATCAACCAATCAGTAAACACTGTCTAGTTGTAAAACAGTTTATAATGGTGGAATTATATCTTTGATCTAATCACCAATCAATTGTCACATGTCGTTTTATTCCTTGTGGTAGAAAGAGAAAGGCTAAGTTCAGCTATTATATGTCGGGTTAGTTTTATGAGTTATGATTATCATTACGCATAGTTTTCCACTCCAACTAAGACTAACTGTTAGGATGAACGAGTTGATGTTAGTTTAGAAAAGTTTAGCTTTTCATATTAGGGTTGGAGTTTTCATCACGAACTAAGATTAACTATGATGCAACGCATTGTTAGTCTACTGTTAACAAACTGAATGGAATTATAGTTGGCATTAAGTGTACGATTTACAAAAGCGAGGATATTATTTAACATCACGAAACAATCTTGATAACGCATCGAATGGAAACAAGTAATTTACACTTTGATAACAATTATACCTTATAATTTAGCCTAATCACCAGAACGAATGCACTTTTCTGCTACGTAATGGAAATTTTAATTAATTTCAAGCATTTGAAAGAATATTGATTGCTAGTTTTTACTTTGCTAATCTATCGCTGCAATTTAAATTTAGCGGGAAATACTTAAGGCATTATCTTCATTCTGATTGGTTCATTCAAAACCTTCAGTATAAGATACTTTTACTCGATCGCTCAACTAAACATCAGTAATAATTGAAAACTGTACAGATATTTTGATCATTTTTTTAATTATAAAACTTATTACCTATGCTTTCATACCCAAAGACATTGTATTTCAAAATTGCATCTAAGCTAGAATAATCTTTTAGATCAGAAACAGTTAAACTCGTAATACCAACAACTTAGATTGTTGCTTGATGAGATAAGAAAATTTCGTACTTCGAATAATGATTTCGTGATTCATTTTCAAGTCATGAATGGATCACTGTTAGACTACCATCAGAAACTTGGAAGCACTGGACGGCCGTTTCGTCCTGATATGGGACTCATGAGCAGTGCGCATCCACGACTCCTGTACCCTGAAGGATTCGAACCTAGGCCCTTCGGTCTTGTGCGCTAACGCCCAACCCCGTAATGCAATTACCTTTGCTTACTAGTGACTAACTTCGTGAGGAATTTTCTCCGAGTTCTAGTGGCAAATCGTGACCAGTGAAGTTCAAATTGTTCGGGTGTAGACAGTAACTACCGAAGACTGTCTATGAGGTTGCGCAACTACATGAATTGATCAAGTTAGACATTAACGCCGTTAGATACCGGCTCAGTTGTCCAGAGGTTAGGCGTTCGCGCCTATGCCTACTTAAAATACTACTCATTACAAGAGTTATTATCACTCAAAACAGACTATTCATAGTGTACTAAAGAGACGCCAATTAAATCTACAGGCACAAACACAGACAAATACATGAGGCGAATAAGGGTAGGATTACAAGGACATGAATATATGAGGCATATATATTTATTGAAGGTCACAACTTTCTATCATAAAGAGAATAGAGTTATTAGAAAGGCAAGAAGAACAGTGATACATTCTGTCTGAATTATTTTAGTCTATCCAACAGTTAAGATAAATCACGTAGAAATGTAATGAAAAGCGCTACTACGAACATTCTCTATACTATTATGCCTTTCCATGGTATTTATGAGTAGCTGCAAGCCATTCATCATCATCGTTCATCATTATTTAGTGTTAAGATATTCATTCAATATCCTAGGAGAATTATTTGTAAGTCTAATTCCATTGTTCAGTTACTATTGGTTAATTCTTATTGGTCATCCTAACTTTCAATGTCACATACTGCAATGCTGTATCCTATTCGACTAATAACCTGTATAAATATGCATTATCTGTAATGTTTTATGACCCGAATTCTTAGTCCGCGATCCTTATCTTCTTCTGATTTCGGACGGCGTGCTTTCGGGATGTTTGTAGAATACACTTTCTACTTCAAAGCAAGTCATCTTCTCTTATTTAATGGGGATTTGGGACAATCGGATTAGAGTAGCCTGTCATGTCGCTGGATCGTCGATCCTCGCTCTCGTTTACTGACTAAGGTAAACTTGTAATAGTTCAAGCATATCAGTTAAAGTGCTGAGTTCATAACATTTAGATAATAACTTCTGTTTTGTAAATAATGTATGTGCTATTGAAGAGTCAGTCAGTTACAACGTAGAACTTTGTACGTACATACATAAGTTCAGGTTGTCATACTTCATCAGCGTACAGACGCAATTGTCAGTGCAAATCCCACAATAGTAGAGGTAGTAGAAGTATTAGCAGTAATCGGAACCTCGGATCCAGTGACACGATAGGTTACTCTAATCCGAGTGTCCCTAGGTCCCACTATGTAGAGGAAGAAGTCTTGACAAAACGTAGAAAGTGTATTCTATAAGCACTCAGAACATATGAGGTCTTTCAAGAACACAAATCGTGCTTATTCATACAATCATTGAAACGTCCTTGAGAGAGTCACAAAAATAGAACACTAAAATAACACATCTACCAATAACAGTCAAAGATTTTCCCGGTGAGAAATGTAATCTCTAGTTTAACTGATCAGCCCATGCTCGAAAAAATAAAACCCAAAATTAAGACATTTATCAAGTGAATTCTGGGGATCTTAGCGCCCCCAACATTTACCCAATAAATTTTATTTTCTCAAGTAAAGTTTTTTTCAATAAAAGGAGAGGTTAAGCGTTTGCGTGCATGACCGAAGGTCCTAAGTTCGAATCCTGCCAGTAGCAGGTATCGTAGATACTCACTGCCACTGATCAGTCAATCCCAATACCAAGAGGAAATGGCTTTCCAAAGGTGAGTTTAACGCTAATGATTGTTACACATTTTTGAAACCATGAATCGATCAATGTTAGACCAACACCATTAGAAACCTGGACGGCTGTTTCGTCCTGGTATGGGACTCATCAGCGGCAGTGCGCATCCACGACTCCTGCACCCCACAGGAATCGAACCCAGGACCTTCGGTATTGTAGGCGGACGCCTAATCATCCAACCCTTGAGCCGGTATTTAACGGTGTTAATGTCTAACTAATGATTGTGTATTCATGATTTGAGAGTTAAAAAAAGATAATAGAATCACTATATAATTATTACCTGTACATCCATTCGGACCTAAATTGTAAAAACCAACTTGACATGTTGAACAATCTCGTGTACCACCAACACCTGGCTTACATGAACATTGTCCTGTCACCGGGTCACATGTAGTTAAATACTCTGGTCTGGTACCGATTGGATCACATTGACACGGTGGACAACCAGCTTCTGTATTACCACGACCAGCGATACACTGATCACATCGAATACCTTCATAGGTGGGCAAACAACTACATTGACCATCTTCAAGTCGACATGATGGTGATAGACTGCCTTTTGGATGACAATTACATGCTAAAATAAATCAATTTTTTTAAATAAGAGGAAAAATAGAAACAAATTAGTTAAATATCACTGATATAATCAAAATATTGAATAATCTCAAAAAATATATATTGAATAAATGAAAGGTTGTGTATTATAGCATTATGCTGATGAGTCCCATACATATCAGGGACGAAACACCTATTATTCAGTGCTTCCAGGTTTCTAATGTTGGTAGTCTAACTAACAATGATTGCTTTATTGGCACTGAACTCATTGTTAGACCACCACCATTAGAAACCTGGGAGCAGTGGATGGCCGTTTCTTCCCTAGTGGTGGGCGTCCATGACCCTCGCACGTGAGAATCAAATCCAGGAACGTCGAGCTGATGCGCAAACGCTAAACCTCTAGGCCACTTAGCCGTTATCCAATGGCGTTATTACTTAACTTCGATCAATCCACAGCTTTGCGCAACCTCATCCATTGTCTTCGGTGGGTAACTGCCTATACTTGACAGGGTTGAAATCTACTGATCATGGCTTCTCACTAGAACTCCGACGATTCCTTGACGAAGTGAAGTTTATGATTTTTCATCTATATGGTTATGAAGATTGTCAATTTTCATTGACATAATGCATCTATCAATGTTATACTGCTATTAGAAACTTGAAAGTACCGAAAGATCGTTTCGTCTAAGTACGGAACTAGTCAGTAGTGTGTATCTACGACTTCAGCACGTGAAAATCAAACCTAGGATAGTTAGTTTCGCACACGAACTACAAACCTTTAGATCACTGAATCTATTGTTCATGAAATATATGAGAAAATGTGTAGCACCATTCAAAACCTGGAAGCATCAGGTGGTTGTTTCGTCCTAATTTGGAACTCAGCAGCAGTGAGCATCTATGACTCTCACAACTCGTAGGATTCAAATTTAGGACCTCCGGTCTTAGGCATGAATGCTTAAACATTGAACCACTGAGCCATTATCTGACAGTGTCAGTCTATAACTTCGACTAACCCATGGACTTGTACAATCTCATCCACTGTCTTCGGTGAGCAGTGTTTCACACCCAAACAGAGTTGAACTTCACCGGTCACCTTATTTCAATCATTTATAGTGAATCTTAGAAAATGGAAATTTTTTTTTAGATGACCAACATGTTGAAATCAATTTACTGTATCAACTGATCAGAAAAAAATCATGATCGAATATAAAAGTAAGAATTAAGTTCGAAAGTAGATACAATTAAAGTAAAAAGAGCTCAGACATACATCAAGTTTAAATATCAATAATAATCACTTGACAGACCGAGAGATACAACACAGAACTTCGTACATAAGTACATCAGTTCAAGTTGCCATAGCACATCAGCACAGAGACGCAACTCTAAGTTCATATCCAAGAGTAGAAGTATTACCAGTAATGGAGAAGATTAGGGAGCAAAGATATGATTCGAAAAGTATAATTCAGTGAGATTAATTTAGACGGAGATAGAGATTATAAGGAATTCTGAAGGTTAGAATTTCAGAGAACACAAACAGTGGATGCACTTGCGCCACTGCAAACGATTCTGAGCCATGTCGTTCAAGGTGTCCAACCATTGGTGACAATCATCTCGCGGACCACAAACCAGGTAGTTTACATCTACCGACATGACTCAGTCCACTTGTCAGTGACTTCATGGATTTCTGCCATATATATATATATATATATATATATATATATATATATATAATATGGTCCGACAACTTGAACTGATGCACGTACATAGCAAGTTCTATGTTGTGGCTAACTAACTAACTGACTGACTGACTGACTGACTACTAATTATAGTAGTTTAAACTAACTTCTTTGAAAAACGTAATGTGATTTTTTTTAAAAACAAAGTTCCATGGAGAATGAAGAGTTGTTTATTGAGTATCATGAAGCGATTGTGGGATAGAACAATGGAGGAGGAAATCAGGAAGAAGCGGTGGAAGTGGATAGGACACACACACTGCGGAAAGCACCGAACTGCATCACAAGACAAGCCCTCACATGGAACCCTCAAGGTGAAAGGAAAAGAGGAAGGCCAAGGAACACGTTACGCTGAGAAATAGAGAAAGACATAAGAAGAATGAACAAAAATTGGACAGAATTGGAAAGGGAAGCGCAGGACAAAGTTGGTTGAAGAGAACTGGTCGACGGCCTATGCTCGCTTGGGGGTAACAGGCATAAGTAAGTAAGTAAGTAAGTATCACGAAGTGATCTTAAATAAGGAAGCATAAAAGTCAGAAAGTAATGGAAGGTTATTTGTTTTTCCAGCAGGAAACATTCACGCGCTCAGATGGGATCAGACCAACGACCTCCAGGTTTCTCAGTGTATGATTAACCTTTAGACCATTGTGTATGTGTGTATGTGCGTTGAAATATCTGTCTTCATCATTCAAACGATACAGATAGTGATGAAAACAGTTGTCTAAGTATGATACTCAACATTTGTTGGCCAAACACTATGTGTACTAATCTACTATAGGAGAGAACAAACCAACTTCTAGTTGAGGAAGAAATTAGGAAAAAGCGTTGGAGGTCAGTAGGACACATTCATTGTGGAAATCACTCAACTGTAACATGAGGCAAGCCCTAACTTGAAATCTTCAAGATCGGAGTAGAAGAGGAAGACGATAGAATACATTGCGCCGAGAACTAGGCACACAGACGGAAAGAATGAATAACACTTGGGAACAAATGGAAAAGAGACCTAATTATAGAATTAACTGGATAATCTTCAGGCAGAGTTTTGGAGGATTGTGTTTTTACACATTCGAACAATCAGTCATTGTTCGACAACTATTAGAAACCTGGAAGCATTGGACGGCAGTTCCGTCCTGGCATAGAACTCAACAGTAGCAGTGCGCATCCACGACTCCTGCACCTCGCAAGATTCGATCCCGGAACCTTCAGTATTGTGCGCGAACACCTAACCACAGGATCACTGAGCCGACATCCGGCGGTGTTAGTGTCTAACTCTGATTGATCTACGGATTTTGCGCGACCTTACCCAATTGTCTTCGGTAGTTACTGCCTACACCCGACAGGGTTGAACTACATTGGTCACGTTTTCTCAACTAGAACTCCGAGAATTTGCTCACGAAGCTAGCCACTAGTGAGCACTGTTACAATATTTTCAGGCAGAGTTTTGGAGGTTTGTGTTTTTACACATTTGAAATCATCACTAAATCATTGGATAATTTTGATCTATGCTCCTCAAGAAGTAACAGGCAGAAGTATGTAAGTAAGTAAATAAGTGATGGGTGGTTATTTGTTTATCCATGGGATCACATGGGATCAAACCAAAGACTTTTAGATTTCCCAATGTGTGTTGTAATATTTACTTTCCTTCAAACGATACAGATATTTATAAACAGTTGTCTATACAAAAAAGATACTCAACATTCGTTGATCAAACACTATCAGCAGTGAGCGAGAACAAATCAGATTACAGAAAAGTAAGAAATCAGGAGCAAGCGCTGCTTATGGATTGGAAACACACTGAGGAAGGCCCTCACCTAGAATTTTCAAGGTCAAAGAAAAAGAGTAAGACTAAAGAACACATTATACCGAGGAATTTCAGACAGACATCAGAAGACTGAAGTACAATCGGGCAGAACTGAAAAGGAAGTCCCGGCACATTGAAGAAACCATCAGATTAGGTTAGAAGGCAAAGCCTCACTTAAAATCCTGAAGGTCAAAGGAAAAGAGGAAGACTAAAGAACACAGTATGTTAAGGAATGCAGGCAGGTATGAGAAGAATGAAATACAATCGTGCAGAACTGAAAAGGAAGTCCCGGCACAGTTTAGGTAGGAGGATGCTAGTCGACGGCCCAAGTTCCACCAGGAGTAACAGGCGAAAGTAAGTAAGTGTTGAAATATTTCATAAAATTGATTTTTCTCAAACACACACACAAACATAATCTTCGAAATTGGGATAGGACACACTCTGTGGGAATCAAAATGGATCAAAATGCAAAATTCAAAACATACGTCTACATGGTTGTCCTCTAGTCGGATCACCATGTGTTCCTTCAGCGCATACATCACATTGTGGTCCAATTGTATTGAATCCACATAGACACGCACCATTTGTTGCATTGCATCCAATAGCTGTTGGACCACAATTACATGGTTGACATGGTATACCATTCAACGGGTCACCAAAATACATTTCAGCGCATACTTCACAATAACGTCCACGAGTACTGCACAATTAAAAACCAATTGAAAAATTTAGTTATTAACAATTAAACTGTTGTGCATTTTTGGTATGATCAATAGCTGGATGACAATCGTCTCGTTCTGATATGTGACTCATCAGTGGCAGTGCGCATCGACGACTTCTGCTCCTCGCAGGATTCGAACCCAGAACCTATAGTCAATCTAGGAAACAAATTGAGTCACTCAATGTCTAGAGGTGTCACATGACATGTCCCACTTATCTTTTGACCTTGTCAATCATTCGTTGCTTTAATTCATGTGAGTACATGCCTATCTCGCTTGTTACAACATGTTTGTCGTATTTTTTGTCTGACACATCTGAATACTGTGGGTAATTTAGTTTTACAGTTCAACAATTGTGTACAATTCATTTGATCATTTCTATCTTATTACTCTTTAGTTTAGTAAGAAATGTAACGAGTTGAATTTTTTGGCTAAATCAATCTTCTGATAGGTTATTGATTTATTTCGAGACATGAATATTGATACAAAAGGGCACCTATATATTTATGAGACGTACTAACCGATAAATCTATGTTTGGGCTATGTTGCTGTCTGGCGGCTCAAACTGAAACAGGTGATTATTTTCTTAGGGGACCACTCCTCGAGCCTTTGACCCAGAAGTCTAATTAATCTACAAGGCAGTAGAGCAATGATGGGAGATACAATTCCATGGTAGCCGGTGACTAACAGTAGATTCATATATCGTTCATTCCATCAGGATTCTAGAGGTTATGGTGTGAAATTACGGCATTCCCGCTCCCCTAGGTTGATCCACCATACCTACCAACTCGTTTAAAGTACATGAGACTCGCTTTTCGTCTTTACAATTTAACAAACAACACCTACCACAGGGAGACAGTGAGTACGACTTCCCTGACAGTTGCCATACACTCATGGCCATATAAGAGCAGTTGAAGAAAGAGTTCAGACTCTTCCCACTTACGGCTGTACTAAGACATTTGGATTAATTCTTCTTAAGAGTTACAGGCTAGATGTTGTTGTCTTACGATACTCTCACATCTCAATGAAACATAATGTAGGATTAAATTATATATCTATATAGAAATTGTCAAGGATGAATTCTTAGGATTGTAAAAGCGTTAGCTATTTATAACTTCCCTCCCTTTATGTGTACAAAAACAATTTGTTGTCATCTTTAATCAGTCTTGGTAATTTTCTGAACCATCAGATGACCTAGGGTATTCGAATGTATGTTGTCATGACGTCAACTTTCTGACAAGAAATAGTTCTATTCTCGGATTGTTCTATCAACAACATATTGACAGGGAATTAACTGCTTAAAATATTGTCAGTCTCTTGAGGAACCTAAAGATGAAGTTGGATTATTGTTGATCTTAGCGATCTGGGAGCATGACCGCCGAGTCCAAGGAACAGCTGCTTCAGGCTTGTCATGCACTGCCTTTTTATGGTGAATTTTTAAAGTGTTGACGTATTAGCTCAGCTCTTCAAAGGACCTTACCTCCGGAGACGGAACTCCGTGGGTTAAGGTGAGTTGTGACATTTTTAGGTTCAACCTTTTCTAACCTCCTCATCCCGTAATGAGAAGGCAGCATTAGTGCTGCCATATCCCTCTACAGTCAGCAGTACGACTTAACCCTCATACCTTGAGTTGCTGCTTTTAGTCTTACTGTTCTTTCTCCGCTTCTCAAAGGGCTTTACTTCCGGAGATGAAAATCTGAGCGGTAAGATGAGGTGCGGCATTTTTAGTGTCGACCTTTTCTAACCCTTCCTTCCTTGTGAGAAGGCAGCATCGCTACAGATGCTATTTGTCCCAGGGAAACACCTTACTATCACCACACCTCTCTACAGTCGGCAGTACGACTTCACCCTCAGACCTTGAGTAGCTGCTTTTAATCTCATCGTTCTCCAATCGACCTGGTAGGAACATATGTTCCAGCCAATATAGCTCGGTTGGGTCATCACGATCAGGAAGCCCAATCATCCTTAACTGTCACTGGTTGATGTGTTATTTTGGTACTCTAGTTTATGTGGCTCTCCAAAGGACGTTTCTATCATGTATAAATAAACTCGACTTATGCTCTTGAAAGACCTCATATTTTCTGAGTGCTTGTAGAATACACTTTCAATATCTTGTCAAAACTTCTTCCTCTACTTAGTGAGGCATTGGGACACTCGGATTAGAATAACCTATCGTATCACTGGATCATATGCGTTCGCTCTCGTTTACCGACTAAAAGTGAACTTGTGCTAGTTTTCAAGTATATCAATTAACGAGCATCACACATCACCAATCTAATCTCTCACAATTTTTCTTCTCACATAAAAAAAAACTGAACTCACTTCTCTGTACAATCTAAACAAACATAAGGTTTCTCTTCATTCAATAATTCTTTATCGTTATGTGCTGTACAAACTGTAGTCATTTGATTATTCAATAGTGGACATTCACATGATTGACATGCTGTTGGATCACCATTGCTTGGATCACCATAAAATCCTGGTGCACATTGATCACATCGATCACCGGCAGTATTATGAAGACAATTCTAAAAATGAATGGTTTTTATTTTTAAAAAAGCCGGGAAAAAATGATGTTTTGATTCATATTTAATATACGTAACTAATGTTAGGTGGTGTTGCGGTGAGTCATACAATGTCTAGAGGTGTCACATGACTTGTCCCACTTGTCTTTTGACCTTGTCACTCATTGGTTGCTTTCATTCTTGTGTGTGTATGCCTACTCGCCTATTACATGTCTGTCTTATTTTTGTCTGACCATAAATTCTTAGTCATGCTTTTATCTCTGGGACTTAGCTCACTAGCCTTCTCCACATCGCTTCATCCGTTCATTCGCCTATTCACTCGCTTGTTTGCTTTCCAGCGCTCGCATGACGATTTTATCTATTTGTGGTGTGTCAAAAATAAACGTATTCAACACTTTGTGTTTACCTTCTAATTTATAACCGTCCAGAGTTATTTGGTGCTGATTGCTTAGACGAGCGGATTACGAAGATTAAGGACACGTTGAAAACTGGCCACCACAATGTCATCATAGAAATGTGGAAATGGTTGAATTTCAGTGAAATCATGAAGTGATCTATGTTAAACCATTGGTTCGAGACCTGGAAGCACTGGTCGAACTTTTCGTGCTATGGTATGGGACTAATTAGCAGTATGCATCTATGACCCTGCAAGGTTTCTTACACCGGTCTAACACTGATCAATTCATGATTTCAATGAAACTCAACTATCTACACAGGCTCTTTAATGTCATTTATCATGTATGTACTCAACAGTGACAAGTGTCATGAGGAAGGAGTTCTGGTAAGAAGTGGTGACCAACAAAGCTCAAATGTGTTGAGTGTGAGATAATTAACTAGCGAATATGATAGATGAGGTAGCACAATTTCGTGGGTTGAATGAAGTTAATATCGTCGGATTCCGGCTCATTGGTCTACAGGTTAAGTGTTCTACTCGTGAGTTGTGGATACGCACTACTTATGAGTCTCATTGTGGTAATGAAAAGTTCATCCAGTGTTTTTAGGTTATCAGTGATGGTCTAACATCGATTGATTCATGATTTCAATAACTGATTGGGAAATGCATGTAAGATGTTATTGCATGTAAATGTTTTCAGTGAACACTGCTTCACATTCGACACCGTCAAACTCTACTGATCACGAATTCTCACTAGAATTCGGAGAAACTTCGTCACGGATCTAGTTACATGATAAATTTCATTATATGTGGCTAATTTTCATTAAAATCATGAATCGATCAATCTTAGAGCATCATTATAAATCTGAAAGCACTGGAAGGTCGTTTCCTCCCGGTATAGGACTTGTAGTGCCTCCAAATATATTCCAGTTCGCTTACACCTAGCTTGGTTAAGCCCTTTCGATTAATCTATTTAACCAAGCCATTCGCGTAGCAACAATTTATATGTACCATTCGTTCTTATTATTGTCTGGTTTGTATGAGCTCACATGATGTGTTCCACTTGTCATTTAACCTTATCAGCTATTCGTTGCTTTTATTCATGTGTGCCTATTTGGCTTGTTGCATGTCTGTCTTATATTTGTCTGACTATATATTCTTAGTCATCTCCTATTTCTTTGAGTTTGCTCTTATCCTTCTCCAATACGCTCAGCCTATTCGTTCACTTCCTTCCCTCATTCTTTCGGTGCTTTTCAACTTCGCTATGTGGTGTGTCCAAAATATAAACGTATTCATACTTCGAATTCGCCTTCTGATTTATAAACCGTCAGGCGCTATCCGAACACGCAGATAAATGGACCCCACAGACTCATCAACAGTGCATATCCACGACTCCTGCTAATCGCAAGACATACAGTCTGATCAATCTAAGGAGTTTGCACAACTTCACCCATTGTTTTCGGTTTGTAATGTTTCACACCTAAACTGAGTTGAACTCCAGGTTATTCATTGGTTGAATTTGTAATTTTCGGCTGGATGAGTTTATTTCATTGAGTCGTTCGCGCAGACATACGTCAAAATACGAAGTGTAAAGGCAAAGTGAGGCGAAGTGGAGCAGCAGGCGAGTGAGCCAACTCAACGCAATGACAGTCATAACTAAGTATTTATAGTCAGACAGAAATAGGGAAGACAAGTAATGCGAGAAGTACGCATGTAGACTCACGCACACACACACACTCAAATAAAATTAACCGAGGATATGATCGTATAAACAGACAAGATCGAAAGGCGTGTGAATACTGATTCGAGAAGAATGTATTCATTTAATTTATTCAAAGACTTGAGACCAAGCCTTGTGAACTCTACACATTAGCCCACACACACACACACACACTCCACTGTCCATCGTAGAAAACTTCCTACTGCTCATAACTTTCTGTAAATAAATCTTAAGTGAACATAGTAAAAATCATAACTCTCATTTCATTCTGATCAGTTGACCAAACAACATCAACACAAGTGGAGTTTACCGTCCAGTTTCGAAATATACATTATCAGTGTTAGAATATTCATCCAATATCCTAAGAGAATTATTATTGGTCAATTCCTATTGGTTAATTCCTACTGGTCAATTTTATGGTCGTCATAGATATCAAGGTCACGGGCACCAATGTTGTTTCTTATTGGTTGTCCTGCCTATCAATGTCACTTCAAATGTTGCTTCCTATTAGTCGTCTTAACTATCAATGTCACAGAAATCGATGCTGTTTCCTATTCGACCAAAATGTATATATACGCATTATCTGTAACGTTTTATGACCAGGACCCTAGTCCAAAACCCTGATTCTCTTTTTGGACTCGGACCTCATACTTTCTGGATGCTTGTAGAATACAGGTTCTACTTCATATCAAGTCTTATCTTCTTATTTTCACTCAATATGGGGGTTGGGATAATTGGATTTCAGTAGCATGTCGTGTCACCGGATCCTCGATCCTCGCTCTCGTTTTCCGACTAAGGGGTAAACTAGTAATAAATAGTTCAAGTATATCAAGTTGACTTGTTTACATACAGGCGTAACAATCAGCAGTGCACACCTACAACTCATACAAGAGGAAATCGAAGTTAGTATCTTCGAGTCTGGCGCCCATCTAAATGCTTAACCACTTGACCAATAAGTTGGCATTCAAAAATAGCATTCTTGTTCTCAATATCATTCAGTTGACAGTATTTTATGTGATTATCATTAATAAATTGACATTTGAATTTTTTAACTTACAATACAAACACCTGTTTTTTCATCACACTCCGTTGAATGTCCATGACATTCACATGATTTACACACGAATAATTGTCGTGTCATGAACATTTTATTATGCCATATTGATAAAGTTGTCGCTGATGTTGATGTTGACGATGATGGCGAGAAAACAGATTGATTCATTGGTTGATGTTGATAATGACGATAATAACCAATGGAACATGATTCACATGATAGCCCAGCATAACCAATTGGACAAATACATTCTTCAATAGTTGATAAACCATTCATTATATCATGTATGATTGGTCGACCAAGTGTCACAGACATTAATCTATGATATAGTTTTAAGAAAAAGAAATACATGTTAGATCATTACTAGAAACCTGGAAACTCCTGAATGACCGTTTTTTGCTTAGTATACGACTGTTACGCCTGCATGTAGCATGTGACACGACATGCTACTCGAATCCGATTGTCCCAGCCCCCCATATTGAGTAAAAGAAGACAAGACTTGATATGAAGTAGAACCTGTATTCTATACAAGCATTCAGAAAGTACGACGTCCGAGTTCAGAAGAGAAACAGGATCCCGGACTTGGTATCCGGGACCGGGTCCTGGTAATAAAACGTTACAGCGAATCGTCAACAATGTGCATCTACAATCTACCCAATAGGGAATAGAATTTAGGATTTTGCGTTTCGCTCGTGAATGCTTAATCTCTTTAACAATGTATTGGCATTCAATAGGGTTCTTGTCTAATATCATTTGGACCATCGTATTGCGCAATTATCATCAAAAATATATTCAGTGAGTAACTACTTCACACACACCCGACACAGATTGAAATTGAAAATATCGTAAAATGTGCTCACTAGTGACTAGTAGCTTCGTAAGGAAATTCTCGGAGTTCTAATTGAGAAGACGTGACCTATGGAGTTTAACCCTGTCGGGTGAAGGCAGTAACTACCGGAGACAAATGTATGAGGTCGCACAAAATCCCTAGATATTAACTCCGTTGGATGCCAGCCCGGGTTCGAAACCTACCAGGTGCAGGAATCGTGGATGCTCACTGTCACTGATGAGTCCCATAACAGGACGAAACGGTCATCCAGTGCTTCCAGGTTTCTAATGGTGGTCTAGCAATGGTTGATCGGTTGATGATTTAAATGTGTAAAAAGATTGAAATGCATTGCTTATGGCTTCTTAATAGATCTTTAAGAATTCATATTGAACCTAGTCCCTAGTGATGCAGATGATAATTTTCACTGTAGAGTTGTGGAGATTGCTGTTTTTCATTTTAAACCTGAATCGATTGATGTTAGACCACTATTAGAAACCTGTACGTGCTGAATTACTGTTTCGTCCAAACATTGTGTAGTGAAGGAGAACACAGGTGGGGCAACCGAATTGTATTTAACGAAAATTACACAGTTACTCAGTAAAATAGGAAAACCATATCGTAAATCGTTCATTTGCAAAACAACAGTTCATCATATCGAACTGGACTGTTCCTGCTGCAAAACATCAATCCATTGTCACTATTCATGCGTTTCATACAAATTCCATTGTGTTCTAACTCTTCCTTTCTTGATCTTCCCCCATCTTCTGCTGCCAGACATTACGTTGACACTCACGTCATATACTACTTATAAGTAGCTCGCACCACAGCACCACAATTGGACTTATTAACAGTCCGACACTATAACTCCTCAGGCGAGAATCTGTTGGGGATGTTAGATCCCTAGAACTCACTTGATAAGGGTCCTCATTTTGGATTTTATGCTTTCTCACATGGGCTGATCTGTTGACCTTGAGGTTACATTTCCCACTCGGAAATTCCTCGTCTATCATTGGCTGATGTATTATTTTAGTACGCTATTTTTATGGCTCTCTCAAGGACGTTTCTGTGTGCTTGAAAGACCTCATATTTTCTGGTTGCTTGTAGAATACACTTTCTACGCCTTATCAAAACTTATTCTTCTACTTAGTTGGGCATTGGGACGCTCGGATTAGAGTAGCCTATAGTGTCACTTCGCTCTCATTTACCGAATAAGGTGAACTCGTAATAGTATTAAGCGTATCAGCTGACGAGCATAACAGAATCGGATTTGTGACCTTGGGTCTAGCACGCGATAGCCTAACCTTTTAAGCACTTAGTTGACCGGGGAAAATTTGTAGCTCAGGTGCATGATTGTGGTGAAATTTCGTTCTCTGAGCTGGCGTTGTTTTGGTTGTGGAGCCTGCATTGTTCTTCTTCCGAACAACAACATCATCAGCACAAACTTCAGATAGAAGTGAAGTATTCAAAATTTCGCCACATATGAGACTCGTATCTCGTCCTACTGACCTCCTTAAACCTATCATTGACTACCTTTTTATTTTGATCGCGTCCCCCTATTGATCTGTTTTCTTGATCTAATGTTAGCCAAAAATTTTTCTGATTGGTTGATAAATTGGTTTGAATGCTCATTGACTTGCGTGTCAAGCTTTTAAATGTTCTCTAGTGTTCTTTGTACTTCCCCTACTCAATATTTCAACACTGTTCCAATCGAGTGTAGTCCCCTAGTAGTCGATTCGATTGGAACACTGTTTATATGATGGATAGAGGGGATAGAAAGAACATTAGAGAATTTTCGGAGGCTTGGCACTTAAATCAATCAGAAATCAACATACACATACCCGAATTTGTTACCCAATCAGAAAAATCCTAGACAAACAGACGATCAAGAAACAGATAAAAGGGAGACACAATCAAAATAAAACCGCAGACAATGACAGATTATAGGTCAATAACAACCAATCACGATCAACAGATCAATAGGACAAACTTTCAATCTCATATGTGCAGAAATTCGAATACTTCAACTGATGGTGTTGTGTGTTTAGAAGGAGACCATTGAAAGCTTCATAACCAAAACATCCCCAGCCCACAGAATGAAACTCCACCACAAAACATGAGTATTTACAGTTTCCGGTAGAGAGAGCCTATGATGATGTCACATCATCATTCAGTCACCATATGTCACATTGACGTTCGGGCGATTCTATCGAGCTACGACTGATTAGTAGCGTGTTAGCCTTTTAGGAGCCCATGGAAGTTTTTATGAGCCGTCTGAACAAGAAAAGTCATGTAAAATTCCGAAGTTTAGTATTTTGGCAACGATTAAGAATGAATGTATCTGTAGCATTGAAAACGATTTGAAAAACACTGTCATTCAAAGTCTCTAAACACCGATTATGACTGTCAGACAGATTCTAACCCCGGTAGTCTACACCTATTAACATGGGTGGCTTCAATTATTACTGACTTCATAGATTGTTGTCGTGTGTTTAGTTTGACTGCCCTCTTCAACTTACCGTTTACTTACTTACTTAAATACGCCTGTTACCCCCAAATGGAGCATAAGCCGCCCACCAGTTTTCTCCAACCAACTCAGTCCTGGGCTTCCCTCTCCGATTCTGTCCAATGTTTGTTCATCCCTCTCATATCTTTCTCAATTTCTCGGCGTAATGTGTTACTTGGCCTTCCTCTTTTCCTTTTGCCTTGAGGGTCCCAAGTGAGGGCTTGTCTTGTGACGCAGTTAGGAGCTTTTCGCAGTGTGTGTCCTATCCACTTCCACCGCTTCTTCCTGATTTCCTCCTCCACTGGACTCTGGTTTGTTCTCTCCCACAGTACGTTGTTGCTGATGATGTCTGGCCAACAAATACGAAGTATTTCGAGTAGACAACTGTTAATAAACACTTGTATCTTCTGGATGATGCCTTTCGTAGTTCTCCAAGTTTCCGCTCAATACAGTAGAACTGTCTTCACATTTGTATTGAAGATCCTGATTTTGGTTTTGGTTGAAAGTTGTCTGGAGTTCCAGATATTTTTCAGTTGTAGAAATGCAGCCCTTGATTTGCCAATCCATGCCCTCACATCTGCATCGGATACACCTTTCTCGTCGATGATGCTGCCCAGATATGTAAAAGCGTTAACGTCCTCCAAGGTATCTCCATCAAGAGTGTTTTGGTTGGTGCACGTTGTGTTGCATCGTAGAATTTTGCTTTTTCCTTTATGTATGTTGAGACCTACTGCTGCAGAGGCTGTTGCTGCTACACTGGTCGTCTTCTCTTGCATTTGTTGTTTCGTGTGCGATAGAAGAGCCAGGTCATCTGCGAAGTCCAGATCACCCACTGCGTCCTAGCTGTCCACCGGATACCGTGCTTCCCTCCAGATGTTGACGTCTTCATAATCCAGTTTCAACTTACCCCACTGAATTAATTTATAAAAATGCACAATATGGACACAAAGTGAACACAAATGAATCCTTTAAAGCCTCTTATCCTTAAATGACTTTATATACCGATCTAAGTGATGTAATTTGATTGACTTAAACAGAGTTTTTAGTTCAACTTTGTTGTCCTTAAATAAATTTGGTCCTCAAAAATTTTTACGGTTAAATACATTTCATACTCTGTAGAAATGATTGATATCGAGTCACAACACGTTACAGAAAAACTTTATTTTGACTCAATGGAACTTGATCACATTTTGATTGGTGAAATCAGTAAGAAAAAAATGTGAACAATTTTTTTATAAAATTGTCAAACTTTCTTGTTATGTAAACATGCTTAATTGAACAGTAATCTTTTATTTGAAACCATGAATCGATCAATGTTAGACCACCATTAGAAACCTGGAAGCACTGGACGGTCGTTTCGTCCCCGTAATGCAAACTACCTGCGCTCACTAGTGACTAGCTTCGTGAGGAATCTACTCCGAGTTCAAGTGGGAGGACATGACCAGTGAAGTTCAACCTGTTCGGGTGTAGACAGTAACTACCGAAGACGGTATATGAGGTTGCTCAACTCCGTGAATTGATCGAACTTAGACATTAACACCGTTAGATACCGGTTCAGTGGTTCGATGGTTAGGCGTTCACCTACAGTACCGAAGATCCTGGGTTCGAATCCTGCGGGGTGCAGGAGTCGTGGATGCGCACTGCTGAGGAGTCCTATACCAGGACGAAACGGCCATCCAGTGCTTCCAGGTTTCTAATGGTGGTCTAACATTGATCGATTCATGGTTTCGAATAAGACTTAACAATCTTCACAACAACAGTAATCTGTTATCGTGTTCATTTTTAAACGGTTATCTTTAGTTGACAATCATGAATGTTAAGTGTAGACTATAAGTACTTAATCATGCCTTTCATCTCATTCAGTTGGCTCAATCGACTTCGCCGCTTCGCTTTGCCTTTACGCATCGTATTCTCATGTCTGTCTGTCCAAATGAATCCGTATTTAGTTTCTTTTTACCACAAACGGGGTTCGCCTAATGTTAGGATATTCGTCAAATATTCTAAAGAAATTATTTTATAAGTCTAATTCCTATTGGTCAATATTTAAGGTCATCCAAAACTATCATGTTCACAAACTTTTGAATGTTGTGCCCTATTGGGGTTAGTATTCACGGTCGACCTAATTGTATAAATATGCATTATCTGTAAAGTTTTATGCTCCTATTCTGTACAAAACCTCATATTTTCCGGGTGCTTGTAGAATACACTTTCTACGTCATATCAAGAGTTTTTGATACCGTTAGCAGGGGCCTGGGACGCTCGGATTAGAGTAGCCTATCGTGTCACTGAATCATTTGTCTTAGCTCTCGTTTACCGACTAAGGTGAACTCGTAATAGCATTCAAGCAAATCAGTTAACGAGCATAACACCTAAGTATCATGTATGGAAATCGAACGAAAGATTTATTTCATCACGTACTACTCGATCATTCGCGCAGCCACTAAAATGGTTAGTCCTACCTACTTCGAATTTTAAATCAGCCACTAGGAGATCTTCAAAAGTTTTCATAAATCAACCAAATTTCTTAGTTAAAAATGTCTTACAATGACGTAAATATAAAACTTATAGTCAACGTAACTCGTGAAGCACAGTTTTATTCTTGCAATAGATAACGTTGTTAACGACGTTGTTTAATAGAAATCTTCAACAGAATAACGAACTTGCTGGGTATTTGTAGAATAATGCACTTTCTACGCTATATCAAGACTTTTTCTCGTTAGTTCGTTTGGGTCAACGGATTAGAGTAGCCTACCGAAACACTCGTTCTTATTTATCGATTAAGGTGAACCCGTGAAATGTTTCAAGCTTATCAGGTGACGTGCATAACACTATTTTCAGGAATTAGTCTGTCTCCTGAGAGAAAATCTATTTACACTAGAGCACTCCATAGTTTTATACAAGTTCACAGAGTAGTATCAATGATTTTAAATCTCAGAAAGATCTAAACATTTTGAGTTTTAAATCGTAGAAAAATATAATTCAGACATGTGATTTATATTTTTATATTAATTATATAAATTCACCCTCAATTGTCAAAGGGTAATTTTACATTGGTTTTCAGAAGAACCAAGGAGACAGCTCACGTGTTAGCATTTCGACAGTTAGACTCAATCCCGTGATGCGACCACACTGGTACCTATCAACCCGGTGGACCATTCACACCATTTATATGCACTAGTACATATATATAGTGATTATGCCCGATCAATGATAGCGTAGTCAATCAATATGCACCGCATGACACAGGCCAATTCAACCCATCCCACTTACATGAATGTCAAACGCATTATTATTAGAAATGGTGATATGCAGCAATACAGCACCCTAATGACAATGACCCCCGGAAATGTTGCAAGACAACCACTAGTATCAATGAAATCGGTCGCCCTGTTAACCAGTTTTGTATATGGACTGTTAGCAATACTTTCCAAAACCGTCCACAAGATTCAGAGTGATCCTTTAGTCTCATAGGAAACCTTCAGCAATGTATTGCAGCATAGCATATGATATACATAGTGTATTGAATAGGCAAGCAAGAGATGCAGCCCAGCTTGATGCGAACAGGTCCAGACACTCCTAATACCCTTTATCCCATGTTCTGTAATGACTTTTGCAAAGTTCCGAAATTTTCATTTTTCGACCATATGATGAGACCTGACAGTTAGGGGTAGTATCCCTAACCTTAATCATTGAAACAAAACGGAATCATTCTATCATTTTCACCTTCCTAATAACTTTCTTTTCTTCCTAGGAAGTTATGACCTTCACTCTCCACATGCCTATTGTATTCATGTCCTCGTCTCATTTGTGTGTGAGTATCTGTGGACTTATCATTTCATCTCATAGGTGTAGTATATCTTTGTTACATCATACATTTGCATTACGGGGTTGTGAGGATTGTTTAGTTACACATTTTTGAAACCATGAATTGATCAATGTTAGACCACCATTAGAAACCTGGAAGCACTGGACGGCCGTTTCATCCTAGTATAGGACTCCTCAGCAATGCGCATCCATGACTCCTATACACCCCGCAGGATTAGAACCCAGGACCTTCGGTATTGTGCACGAACGCCCTAACCGGTAGACCACTGAGCCGGTACCTAGCAGTGTTAATGTCTAACTTGATCAAATTCACGGAGTTGCGCAACCTCATACATTGTCCATATTGAGTTATAATAACGCCTGAAATAAGTAACATTTTGAGTAGTTTGATAGGGTTTGTCTGCATAATTAAATGTCTGAAATAAACATTTCGAACTGAATTCCTAAATGGATTCGATTACAACCGTCGGCGCCGCCGCCTCCGTTGTCGCTACCGCTTCTCGGTATGGAGTTAACTTCTACACTTCATTCATTAATCACTCACATTATACAGTCAAATCATCGGGGGGAGAACACAAACTTCCTAATTTTACATGACAATCGTTTAAAACACTATACACACACACTAACTTACTCAATAGTTGTTTGATCAGTGATATATTTCACTTTAATCAATAATCGATCAATACTCGACAGTACATTCATGAGATCAGTGATTGTAGCTGGCCGACCGACTTGTTCAAATGTTGACTCATCAAATTGCTGTTGTTGTGACAGCTGTTGCGGCTGTTGTTGACGACGATGATGATCACCTTGTAACCAGTTGATTGGGAAACGATCTAATGGTATAGAAGTTGGCGGTTCAATAATCACACGAAATGATGATTCAACAAGAGGTATATTTAATATCATATGCGTTTCACGATAAGTTGGCGGGAGTATATGAACTAGACGATAACCATTACCCTGTGTTTAGATTAGTTTGACAATTTCGATGAAAAGCAGAATAAAAAGAGTGAGAATATTTTCAGAAATAGAAAAAAATACAACAACAACAACAATTGAATTGTGTGCTACATTGAACGTTTAATACTGCGGAGGATTTGAAATTTGTTTTAATTGTTGATAAAAAACAAGGAAAACGCGCTGAAAGTGGATGGGAGGACACCCACAGATCGAGCAAAGCACCCAACTACATTACCTAGAATCCTCAAAGTCAACAGGAAAGAGGAAGACCAAGGAACACAATACGCAAATAACTGGAAGTAATTATGATAAGAATGAACAGCAGTTTGGTAGAACTAGAAGAGAAGGTCCAGGATAGAGTAAGTTGAAGAATGCCAGTCAGTGGCCTATGATTCATTGGGAGTAACAAACGTAAGTAAGTAAGTAAGTAAGTGCATAAGTAAGTAAGTAAGCAAGTAAGTAAGTAAGTAAGTAAGTAAGTAAGTAAGTAAGTAAGTAAGTAAGTAAGTAAGTAAGTAAGTAAGTAAGTAAGTAAGTAAGTAAGTAAGTAAGTAAGTGCATAAGTAAGTAAGTAAGTAAGTAAGTAAGTAAGTAAGTAAGTAAGTAAGTAAGTAAGTAAGTAAGTAAGTAAGTAAGTAAGTAAGTAAGTAAGTAAGTAAGTAAGCAAGTAAGTAAGTAAGTAAGTAAGTAAGTAAGCAAGTAAGTAAGTAAGTAAGTAAGTAAGTAAGTAAGTAAGTAAGTAAGTAAGCAAGTAAGTAAGTAAGTAAGTAAGTAAGTAAGTAAGCAAGTAAGTAAGTAAGTAAGTAAGTAAGTAGCTAAATAATCAAGTAAGTTAGTAAGTAAGTAAGTAAGTAAGTAAGTAACTATGTAAGTAAGTAAGTAAGTAAGTAAGTAAGTAAGTAAGTAAGTAAGTAAGTAAGTAGAGATTTCGATTTTGTTTTATTGTTGATATTTCGACTATAATTGTAGCTTGATATGTCTATTCTGATAAAAATTTCAGTTTTTTCATTAAGAAATATCAACACAATGATATCATTCAAACGTATACAAATTAAACTAAGATAGTTTATTTGGAGATAGATGTAACTATAACACAACATGAACCAACCAAATCACAGTTCACAGTGTAGCATCATTGATGAGCACAGTCGATCTGATGTCGATGTGAATGCGTGGATCGGTAATTGAAGAACATCTGAAACTTAAAACAACTATCAACCAATACCAAAGTCACATTTTTCAATACAAATGTCAAGACAGTTCTACTGTATGGTGCGGAAACTTGAAGAACCACGAAAGCTATCATCCAGAAGATACAAGTGTTTATTAACAGTTGTCTACACGAAATACTTCCGATCCGTTGATCAGACACTATCAGAAACAATCTACTGTGAGAGAGGACAAACCAGATTCCAACGGCAGAAGAAATTAGGAAGAAGCTCTGAAGGCGAATGGAGCAGACATCGAGGATAGCACCCAAATGCTTCACAAGACAAGCCCTCACTTGGAATCCTCAACGTCAAAGGAAAAGATGTAGACCAAAGAATACATACAGTACGCCAATAAATGAAGATAGACATCAGAACAATGCGTAGCAATTGAGCAGAGCTAGAAAGGAAGGCGGCAGACAGAGTAGATTGGAGAACGTTGGGGGTAACAGGCGTAAGTAAGTAAGTAAGTAAGTGATTATTTAAAATAGATTACTTACTTCAATCACAATATCTGGTTCATGTAACCACATATAATTTAAATGATCAATCATAGCCATTGATCTACTAGTGGAATATTGTCTACTACTACTGCTACCTACAGATGATGGACGATAAGCAAGCATTGTTGGTGAATTAAAACGTAATATCACATTCAGTGTATCACGATATGCTGTAATTTGATTGCCTAAATATTGCTTCGGTGCTGACCAATAATAACCACGTGTAATCGGTTTAGATGTGATTGATGATAACCATGTTTCAATTGTGTGTAATTGAGCAAATAGAATTCTGTCTGTTGGTATGGATGTTTCTATCATCATCGGTATCATGTAACTTGTATCAGGAGTTGTTAAATCTGGTATTATAATTTTCCAATTATCTAATGTAGTAATCTAAAACATATAGGTAAAAAAAAGAATAGATTTTTAATTGATAGATTGATTCAGTCAATCAGTTAGTCAGTCAGTCAGTCAGTTGCAACGTAAGAACTTCGTACGTATGTACATAAGTTCATGTTGCCACAGAGACGCAAATGTCAAATCAAATCCCATTGTGATAAAGATAGTTGAGGTATTGATGGTAATGAAGAAGACTAAGGTTTGAAGATATTATTCAAGAAGTATCATTCAGTGAGATAATAAGGTTAGAAAGACAAAGTTAGAGGTGTTGGCGAATCCAGAAGATTAGGATTTGAGAGAGCACAACGAATGGATGCACTTGCGCCATTGCAAACGATTGTGAGCCATGTCATTCAAGGTCTCTAACCATTGGTAACTTTCGTCTCGCTGACCCTTAACCAGGTAGTCTACATCTACCCAACATGACTCAGTCTACTTGTCAGTAATTTCATAGATTTCTGCCATGTTTTGGTTTTGCCACCCCTAACTTTCTTCCAACCTATTCCTACGCCGCAAAATATAGCTCAACTTGGTAGTCGGTGGTTAGGTATACGCAAGACATGTCGCAACCATCTCAACTGATAAAGTTTCACCACTTCATCTGACATCCTAACCTAGTACTCGTTTCCTAACGACAGCATTGTTTACTCGGTTGTCCCACGATATATGAGCAATGCTTCTTAAACATCTATGACCGAATACTAGTAACCTACGAACATCTTCTACTCTTAACGGCCATGTTTCGCATCCATATAGAAGAACGGAGTGAACTGCTGCGCAGTACACCCGTCCTTTGGTCAGAGAACGGATATCACGCCTACGCCATGAGTGACGCAGGTTGGTTGCTCTAAGCTTTCTTCTAATCTACTCCTACACCACAAAATATAGCTCGTCGAGGCAGCCGGTGGTTAGGCATTCGTAACACATGTCCCAACACCTCAACTGATGAAGTTTTAATACTTCATCTATTGATCTGCTATCCTTACCTAGTACCCGATAGGTTGACTATTGAATTGTAGTGGAACTACGTCTACAGACCATCTGGAGCTTCCGTCAGTCTCAAGCCATAATAAAGGAGAAAGGTTGGGTTTGGGGTTGGTGACCCTATCCTGTAGCGAAACCAACTCGTACATACATAGACCAGTTCAAGTTGCCATACTACATTAGTACACAGAGATTGAATAGTCGATGTGAATCCCATAGTGGTGTAAATGCAGTAGAAGTATTGGCGATAATCGGGAAGATTACGATTCGAAGGTATTATTCAAAATCTAGGGAGATGAACTTAAAAACAGGAAGATAAAGGTGATGAGGAATCTGAAAGTCTAGATAGAATTCGAGAGAACACAAAGAGTGGATACACCTGTGACATTGCAAACGATTTTGACGCGTGTTATTCAAAGTCTCTAACCATCGTGGACTGAACCAGGTAGTCGACACCTACCAACATAGCTCAGTCCACTTGTCAGTGAATTCTTGTATTTGTGCCATGTTTTAGTTTGGTTGCCCTAAGCATTCTTCTGATCTACTCCTATACCAGCAATCATTGTTCGCCGAGGCAGTCGGTGGTTAGGTATACGTAACACATTCCCAACCACCTTAACTGATGAAGTTTCATTACTTCATCTATTGATTTGTCATCCTAACAATTGTATTGCTTACTCGGCTGTCTCAAGATATACAAGCAATGCTTTAAATATACCTATGATTGAAAATCAGTAACCTACGATTATCCTCTACTCTTACTGGCCATATTTCCCACCCACATAGTAGGACGGAGCGAACTGAAAAGGCAAGACAACTAATTTATAAATCCAGCGATTAATAAACTTCTTCATTTTTATTGATTGTCTGAATTTCCTCATTGATGACTGACAACTGTAATTGATCAGTTTTTTTTGGTCTGAATGTATCCAGTGCGGTTTACCTCAATACTTGCCTTTAGGTTACAAGTATTATTAGCAGAAGTGCTTAGTGGCTAACAGTAGAATTCAGAATCCATGTTTCGACTGAATTGTGACTTGTACGCAATAATAACAATAATCGTTCATTAAACATCATTCTGAATGCTTTGGTTAATCAGTGTTATAATTCTCTCCCAGTAGAACCCAGCTATTCATAATACTTAGTATTCTCAGACACCAATCCACTCGACAAGTCCCCATATCAGAACACGGTTAAACACGGAAGAGATTATATCCCAAACAGCAAGGTTAAATAGAAGTAAGAAGCCGAAGAGAAGACGCTATAAGAACAACGTTAGTATCTTTATAGTTTTTACATGAGAAGCTTCTCGAATGTTCTCTAAGTATCGACCAGGCACTGATTGGATAGGAATTAGCCAATCAGCGTGCAGCTAACGCAAACATACTTTAATCCCATCTATATATTCTGCTAACACAAAGTAGCAATTACTCAATAATCTAACATGTATTAAAATTCACAAAGTGCATAATCCGATTACATATGAAATGAACAGTAGCGGGTTCGAGTCTTAAAGTGAACATCAATCAACTCTGGAAAAGTGATTTATACTAACCAATCGACAAGTTATCAATAGAATTGAAATGTACATTCTAGATTCCTTATTGCTAATAGTCCTAATCTCTTACAAAGAATCAATTCATTGATTCAGATGTACATAGTATGGTATATACTACTTACAACGTGGTTTATAAGTAGTACAAAAGTGGAGTAATGCCCAAAAGTTACGACCGAAGAGAAAAGTGTCAGATCTACTGGTCTTAAGTCCATTTTTTATTACAAAACAATAAGAATACAAAATGTTAAATGAATAAAAATGAACTGTATTATTACTTACTGGACCAAGTAATCCTTTACTTTCTAATATCTAAAAATAAATGAAATAAAACAGAGAGTGAGATAGAGAGAGGTAAAGGAAAGTACACATAGATATATTTTCATTACAGGGGTTGTAAAGACTGGTAAGTTGCACATCTTTGAAACCATGAATCGACCAATGTTAGTTAAACCATCATTAGAAACCTGGTAGCACTGAAAGACGGCCGTCTCGTCCTGGTATGGGACTCCCCAGCAGTGCGCATCCACGACCCCTGCAACCCGCAGGATTCGAACCCAGGGCCTTCGGGTAAAGTACTCGAACGCCCCAACTGTTAGACCACTGAGCCGGTATCCAACGTTGTTAATGTCTAACTTATCAAATTCACGGAGTTGCGCAACCTCATACACAGTCTTCGGTAGACACTGTCTACACCCGGACAGGTTGAACTTCACTGGTCACGTCTTCACACTAGAACTCGGAGAAGATTCCTCACTAAGCTAGTCACTAGTGAGCACAGGTAATTTTCATTACAGGGGTTGTGAAGATTGGTAAGCTACACATTTTTGAAACCATGAATCGATCAATGTTAGACCACCATTAGAAACCTGGAAGCACAATACCGAAGGTCCTGAGTTCGAATCCTGCGGGATGCAGGAGTCGTGGGTGCGCACTGCTGAGAAGTCCCATACATAGATATATATTACTGTTTTAATGGTAATGAGTTATTTTTTACATGTTGACTTATTCATTCGTGATTTGTTTCATCTATACTATACTAGATGGGTTCAATCTCCCACGGTGAAGTTTCTAGGTGTGCACTATTGAGGAGTGTTAAATGTTAGGATAAAATAAATGTCTTCTATTTCCTCCTTCTCAATACTTACCAGCTTACTTTCTGCTATTGCCGCTCATGAAGCATAAGCCTCCGACTAATATTCTCTAACCTATTCTATCCTGGGCTTTCGTTTCCAGTTCTATCCAACTGCTGTTCATTCTTCTTATGTCTGCTCCAAATTCTGGGCCTAGTGTATTCTTTGGTATATTTTGTATTCAATTTGACCTTGAGGATTCCAAGCAAGGGATTGCCTTGTGGTGCAGTTGAGTGCCTTCCTCAATAATTATCTAACTGAAGTCAACTGATGTTAGGATATTCATCCAATGAATATCCTAAGAGAATTATTGGTCAATTCCTACTGGTTAGTTACTACTGGTCAATATTATGACCTTCCTAACTGTCAATGTCATATACTTCAGTGTTGTTTCCCATTGGTCATCCTGACTATCAGTGTCATTTCAAATGTTGTTTCCTATTGATTGTCCTAACTGTCAATGTCACAGACTTCATTGTTGTTTCCCATTCGACCTAGCCGCATGAATACGCATTTTCTGTAGCGTTTTCTGACCCTGACCCGGATCCCTAGTCCGGAATCCTGATTCTTTTTTGGACTAGGACCTCGTACTTTCTGGATGTTTGTAGAATATATGTTCTACTTCGTATAAAGTCTTCTTCTTTTACCCAAATGGGGGAGGGTTTGGGAGTAATCTGTCGTGTCGCCGGATCCTCGATCCTCACTCTCGTTTTCTGACTAAGGCAAACTCGTAAAAGTTCAAGCATATCAAAATGACATGTTTACGTGCATGCGTAATGATTGATATTTTTAAATTTCTTGAATAACTAAGAAATGGACAGTAAATGTCACGGACAAAATGAGCATCTTGGATTCTACTGCTAGCCACATTCTATCTTTTCTGTTTAAACTTGTGTTGTAATAGCTATATCGAGTCATCTACATAGGAAGCTCATTATAGTACAGTATGAGTTGGAGTTTCAGCTAACAAATGTTTTGATCTCATTCAAAACAGTATTATCAATAAAATCAAACATAACAGAGGAAACATAAATAAATTATTGTTATACATGAAGGCAATTCCAAATTAAGATGAAGCATCTGTCTAGGTGCTCACTGACTTTCAATAGTTGTTCATATGTTTAGTTAAGCGCGTAAATATTAGTACAAGATGGCACCTAAATAGTTATGAAACACACAAATCAATGAATTTATGTATGTGCTGAGATACTGTGCAGCTGCCCAAACCGATGCAGGTAGTTTACCGACGGGGGGGTCTACTCACCGAGCCTATGGTCTACAGGTGTAATTCACAAGGTAATGGACCAACGTCAGGAGATGCAGTCTCTTCGTAAACAGTGAACAAAAGTAGGTTCATACGCCATTCGTTGCTTTAGAATCCTGGAGCCCACAGTCTCCATTTATTTGGAATCGGGGTTTCCCAACTCCCCTCCATACCTACCCTGTTGGTTTAGGCCCAGGTAGGAAATTCGCTTTTCCTCTTCTCCATTTTGTGAAAAAAAACACCGCTATGTGAAATCAGTGATTAACGCTTTCCTATCAATTACTACTATACATGCGTAAACATATGCGAGCAATTGGCGAAACAGAAAATCCATTCTCTACTTTTGAGCGTACCGAGGCATTTTCGGGAGTAATTCAGTTTAAATCATTCTCTTATAAATCATATTCTAGATCTTTTTTTTCAAATTAAAAAAACTTTCAATTTAACACACATACATACCATTGCAGTGGATGCAGTCACACTGGTACATTGATCAGTAAGACCGGAACAATAACATGATTGACAACCTTCAGGATTGTTCACATCTAAATTGAAAAATCCTTTTTGACATGCATTACAATGTGAGTCTGGATCAACATTAATCTAAGGTAGGGATTATTCAAAAAAAAAGATTCACAGCAAGAGAGTTTTAGTGGCAAAATATAAACAGAAAATATTATCAATGCATAAATAATCCTATTCTATAGTGGTGTCATGTGTCATGTGATATGTGATGTATAATTGAAAGTTGTTTGGAGCGTGACCACTGTAGAGCCCAAAAAGGACAACTGCTAGGAAATGATTTAAAATGTTGACATGTTAGCTCCGCTTTTCAAATGGCCTTACCACCGGACACGGGAATCCATGGGGTAAGATGAGGTATGACATTTTTCTGATCGATGTTTTCTAACCCCTTCCTTCGTTGGGAGAAGGTAGCATCGCTGAAGATCCTAGTTGTCCGGTGGAAACACCTCACTTCTGTCACGCTCCTATACAGTGAGCAGTACGATTTCGCACCCAGACCTTGAGTTGCTGTTTTTAGTCACATAGTTCTCCAATCGACCTGCCTAGCATGGTAGGACCTAAAGGAACGTATATTCCAGCCAATATCGCTCGACTCGTTCAACACGATAGGCAAGCCCGGCCATCACGTTAAGGTAGCAACTACGGTCAGGCTGTTAAATCTAATGGATCGGTTTTATTTTCAGCGTAGTACATGCATGCTGAGATCTTCCGATTGTTCTGTTAGGTAAATTCTGACCGTAATATATATTATCGATTGATAAGAAACACTATAAGGACTTTATTTTTGGTAATACTCATGTATTGATAACCTAGTTACAATTTTGGGTGCTATCCATGACTACGATTACAGTCTGCTAATATAGTATTAAGCAACCTGCCTAGCTGGGGTTTACGTAACAGTCCGATAGTTAACGATTTTGAATGAGATTGCTTAAAATCGTATACAGTTGCTCACGTGCATCCATTCTTTGTGTTCTCTTATGACTTCATGAACTCAAAACCTTTTCTTATCTCTTTTTAAATTTATTTCACTGGATTATACTACGTGAATAATTTCTTCGGACTTTAATCTTCTCCTATGACTACTAATACTTTTAATACCCCTACTACTATGTGATTTGAACTGATAATGCGAGAGATAATGCTAACTGATAATGCTAATGTGGTATGGTAATTCGAGCTGATGTACGTACGTACGAAGGTCTACGTTGTAACTGACTGGCTGACTGACCAACTGGTTCCTAACGATTAAGTATCCAATTCTAGACGTGAAGTTTATAGTTCCAAATGTTAGTGTGATCATAATTGTATACTGCTGGGAAGTCAAAATACTAGGCTAAACACAGAAATCCAATACTTCATGGCTGCTAATAGTATACCAAATGAGACTGATCTATATGTTAGGGATATTCATCAAATATCCTAAGGAGAATTACTTTTTTAAGTCTAATTGTATTGGTCAATTCCTACTGATCCTAGATATCAAAATCACGTACTTCAATGTTGTTTCCTATTCGACCTGACTGTATAAATACGCAGTATCTGTAACGTTTGATGATCCGGACCCGGATCCCTAGTCCGAGATCCTGATTCTCTCCTGGACTCGGACCTCGTACTTTCTGGATGCTTGTAGCATACATGTTCTACTCCACATTCAAGTCTTCTAGTTAATGGGGGTTTGGGACAATCGGATTAGAGTAACCTTTCGTGTCCCCGGATCCTCGCTCTCGTTTTCCGACTAAGGTAAACTCGTAATAGTTCAAACATATCAAAATGACGTGTTTACGTGCATGCGTAACACTATATTGAACACTTACCTACATATTAAAATTAATCTCCATAAAATCTCTTCCAATAGTCATTATAGGCCGTTTTAACAGAATACAAATTTTCTCCGGATCAATTTCACTGATAACATTCATGATGAATTGCTTGAAACTTTAATTTTAAATGAAAACTTGCAATCCATTCAATAGGAAGCAAGTAGACCATGGTTTAAAGAAGCGTCTTGCTTTATTTGATAATTTCATTGTTTTGTATACATTTGTAATGTGACTGACTCATAGTGAACGCATAGGCTACACATTTCATCCTAATTAGTACTTCGTCAACTGGATGTACTGGCGTTTCACTGCAAGACTCGAACTCAGTACTACTAACTTCAAACTAAACGCATATCCTTAATTCTACTGCTAGAAGACACATTCTGTCTATTTCTACATACAATAGTATTGTGGTGCGCGCTACTTATAAGTAGTATATGACGTGAGTGTCAACGTAATGTTTGGCAGTAGAAGATGAGGGAAGATCAAGAAAGGAAGAGTGGGAACACAATGGAACTTGTATGAAACGCATGAATAGTGAAATCTCAGACAATGGAGATGATGAATTGGACTGAAGATTTGCAAATTAACGGTTACGATATGGTTTTCCTATTTTACTGAGTGACTCTGGAATTTTCGTTAAATACAATTCGGTTGCCCTCATCTGTGTTCTCCTTCACTACAGTATCACAGTCAATTAAGTCCGAATAAAATTCGAATAGTCAATAGAAATGACTCAAATTTCAATCTCATTAGCACAAGCTTTAGTCCAACTGTACTCAGTCATTAGTAAGTAGATCATGCTATGGCGTTTTACAATGAATGACACTAGGTTCGATTCTCGGAGAGAACATTACCACTGAGATGTATGCGCATCCATTGAAAGAGTTACTTTTTGGATTCTACTGTTAAGCCCCTATCCATCTTTGTGTTTAAAGTGAAGTTAGTTTGAAAATTGACTAGTACCATTCGGTAATTGATTATAATAATTTCCAAATTCATAGCACTGTAGTGAACGAGAACAACCGGATTACAGAGCTACTCAGTAAAATAGGAAAACCATATCGTAAATCGTTAATTTGCAAAATATCAGTCCATCATATCGAACTGGACTGTTCCTGTTGCAAAACATCAATCCATTGTCACTACTATTCATGCGTTTCATACAAATTCCATTGTTTTCTAACTCTTCCTTTCTTGATCTTCCCTCATCTTCTGCTGCCAGACATTACGTTGACACTCACGTCATATACTACTTATAGGTAGCTCACACCACAGTACTATACCGTTGAATATCTTTGCGTTAAATTAATGAGTTCAATATCTCAAACAGAAAAAAATAATTATTTTTATTATTTATTAAGCTTACTTTACAATTACACGGTGGTTCACATTGATAACCTGGACCACGATGACTACCTCGTATATCACATGTACATGGTATACATAATTGTGGATCAATATTTGAACGTTGATAACCTTCAGCGCATTGATCACAACGTCGACCAGCATAACCTTCTTTACAAATACAATCACCAGGATACTGAATATGGAGGAAAGAAAATCAAAATACATATATTTCTTAATTAAACTTGAATAAGTTGTATATGTTGATTGCTGAAATCATGTATCAGTCATTGTTGGACCACACTATTAGAAACCTGGAAGCACTGGACGACGGCCGTTTCGTCGTGGTATGGAACTCATTTAGCACTGCGCCTCTACGACTTCTGCTCCTCACAGGACCTTCTTTCTTGCACGTGAACACCCAACATCTGGACAACTGAGCCAGCATCCAAAGGTGTTAATATCTAACTCTGATCAATCTAGGGATTTTTGTCTTCGGTAGTTACTGCCTTCACCCGACAGGGTTGAGCTCCAGTGATCACGTCTTCTCACTGGACGTACGAGAATTTCCTCATGAAGCTAGTCTTTAGTGAGTACTTATGATTTATTTTCTAATATCACTCAAAATAACTGTTGTAACAACGAAGTATCGCCGAGAAGTTACTACTGGATAGAAGAGTGTTAGGTGTCTCTACTACAACCTGAACACAAGAGGAAAGGCGTGAAATACAAAAAGGCTGTTTTACTCTAAGGTTAGTTCATGTATAGAAAAATAAAACTATTTATGGGGTTACTCATGAACTTTTGGGGCTACTAGAAGATCCAAAAATCATATTAAATATAGTAGCAGTACTATTAAATATCCAGCCAGAATCCTGACACATGATTCTGTCTTTCTCAGATGTTTTGAGAAGTTTTCTGGTGTTTCTGCGTGTGAAGTTCAAACCTGTTCGGATGTATACAGGGTATGAGGTTGCGCAACTCCGTGAATTTGATCAAGTTAGACATTAACGCCATTAGATACCGACCCAGTGGTCTAACGGTTAGGGGTTCGAATCATGCGGGGTGCAGGAGTCGTGGATGCGCACTGCCACACTGATGAGTCCCATATCAGGACGAAACGGCCGTCCAGTGCTTCCAGGTTTCTAATGGTGATCTAACATTGATCAATTCATGGTTACAAATAAAACTTAACAATCTTCACAACAACCCCGCAATGCAACATGTATATAACAGAAACTATTTGGAAACAGAGCTAATAACAATCGTAACAATACAATATAGATAATGAATAAATGAACTATTGAACAATTTGAATTCAATCATTTTAAAGATTTCATCTATTGAACATTGAATTATCAGTTTAAATTGGCGGAAATTGTTGATTTCCAAATTAAAACAAAACAATGAATCTCGTGCACCATTCTATTTATGACAACTATTCAATCGACTGTATTGTATTTAAAACTAAATGATGAGTAAATTTTAACTATTTCAACGATCTTAAACATTTCATCTATTGAACAATGAATTATCAGTATAACTTAGGGAAATTGATAATTATCGAATAAATCATAGAGTGTTAATCAATTCTCGTTGGTAGTGCGTATGTATATTGTGATGGAGTTTCGTTCACTAAGCTGCGGATGTTTCGGTTGTGTAGCTTTCATTGTTCTTCTGCTGAACATAACATCATCACCATCAGCACAAACTTCAGATAGAAGTAGAGTATTCCAGTTACTGTATGTATGACTCGTAGCTTGTTCTATTGACTTCGATCTTATTCTCTCTTCTCCCTTACTCTTGTTATTCTCAAAGGAGCCTAGACTGCCGACTAGCATACACCGACCTACTGTGTCCTGGAACTTCCTTTCTACTTCTGGCCAATTGTTGTTCATTATTCTCATATCTGCCCCAATTTTTCAACGTGTTGTGTCCTTTCGCTTCCTCTTTTCTTTCAGCCTTGAGGTTCCTAAGTGAGGGCTTATCTTGTGACGCAGTTGAATGCTTTCCTGAATGTTTGTCCTATCCACTTCCAACGCTTCTTTCTAATTTCTTCCTCAGATGAAAGCTGGTTTATTCTCTCTCACAGTAGGGTATTGCTGATAGTGTCTGACCAACGGATCCGAAATATCTTACGTGGACAACTGTTAATACACACTTGTATCTTCTGAATGATGGCTTTCGTAGTTCTTCGCGTTTCTGTTCCATACAGTAGAACTATCTTGACATTTGTATTGTAAATTGTGACTTTGATGTTGGTTGATAAATGTTTTGAGTTCCGGATGTTCTTCAGTTGTAGAAATGTTGCCCTTGCTTTGCTAATCCACTCCTTCACATTGGCATCAGATCCACCGTGCTCATCAATGATGCTGGTTTTACATTTTCTAAAGCTGGATGATGGCTTTCGTATTTCTCAAAGTTTCCGCACCATACAGTAGAACTATCTTAACATTTGTATTGAAGATTGTAACTTTGGTTTTAGTGAATAGTTAGTTTGAGTTCCTTGACCTTGATTGGTAGTTATTGACCTTAAGGTCATAACCAAAACATCCAAACATCCGATTCACAGGCCGAAACTCCATCACAATCGTTTACCTAAGGTAGTAATTTTCTTCCCTATCTTAATGTGTTCTTTGGCCTTCCTCTTTTCCTTTGACCTTGAGGATTCCAGGTGAGGGCTTGTCTTGTGACGCAGTTCGGTGCTTTTCGTAGTGTCCTATTCAATTCCACCACTTCTTCCTGATTTCCTCCTCCACTGCAATCTGGTTTGTTCTCTCCCATAGTAGGTTGTTGCTGATGGTGTCTGGCCAACGAATCTGAAGTATTTTGCGTAGACAACTGTTCATAAACGCTTGTATCTTGTGGATGATGACTTTCGTAGTTCTTCAAGTTTCCGCTCCATACCGTAGAACTATCATGACATTTGTATTGAAGATCATGACTTTGGTATTGGTTGATAGTTAGTTTGAGTTCTTTGACCCTGATTGGTAGTTGTAGACCTTAAGTTCATAACCAAAACATCCAATTCACACAGAAAAACTCCATCGCAATCATCTACCTGTGCTACAAACTTTCTTCACCATCTTAAAGCCCACATATTGAAAGAAGACTTAAGACTTAATAAAACTCTCCCGCCCCCGCCCCTCCCCCCCAATAAAACCATACACACTGAAAATACTATCAACATTACTCTTTCTGGTATCTCAGCATCATTCGATGTACAATCCCCAGTTGAACCAAATGTACTACATTCACATGGTCTACATGGAAATGATGAATCCGGTCGTATATTTAATGGACGATAATAGCCTTGTTTACATTTTTCACAATTCACACCAGTTGTATCTTCCTAGATAGAATAAGGAGAAAAAAAGAAAGCCGGTTAGATTGATTTTCAACAAGGAAGCAAAATGTATATTTATATATGCATATACATATATAGATGATCGAGTTATACATTAACACCGTTAGAAACCAGCTCAGTGGTCCAGAGGTTGGGTGTTCGCACACAAGACCGAAGGTCCTGAGTTGGAGTCTTGCAGGGGTGAGGGGTCGTGGATGCGCACTACTGATGAGTCCTATACCAGGACAAAACAGCTGTCCTATGCTTACAGGTTTCTACTGGTAGTCTAGCATTGATCGTTTCATGGTTTCAGTATGTGTAACTTAACAATCTTCACAAAGCCGTAATATATTAATGAGTATTTCTGTGTATTACTTAATGACCGAATGGACTTTCTTTTCCACTCTTGCCTTCTAATTCGATTAGATAGGTTTGGGCAATTAATGTGTGTATCAAATTCAGATCTCCGACACCGTACATCATAACTGTTAGGATATTCATCAAAATCCTAAGATCATTGTTCGTAAGTTTAATTCTATTGGTTAATTCCTATTGGTGGTCTTAACTATCCAATGTCACATTCATCAAATGCTGCCCCCTATTCGATCTATAACCTGTATAAATATGCATTATCTGTAACGTTTTATGATCTGGATCCTCGATACAGGATCATAATTCTCCTCTGGACTCGGACCTCGTACTTTTTGGATGTTTGTAGAATACACATTCTGCTTCATATCAAGTCTTCTTCTTTAACTCAATAGGAGTTTGGGACGGTCGGATTAGAGTAGCATGTCGTGTCACCGGATCATCGATCCTCGCTCTCATTCATCGGCTTAGGTAAACTCGTAATACTTCAAGCTTATCAAATGACGTGTTGACTCGCGTTCGTAACAAAAACATGCATAAAAGGTTTTTCAACTGAGACTATCTGTAACGATTTCAGTGCTCATTAAGTATGTGTTTGTTTTAATTAGTTGTTAGGTGCTTTTAAACGTTCAGTGCGGTATATTGAGATGTGATTTTTATCAAACAATTGATTTCTGACTGAATTAAACGTCTTTCACGTCGAAAGACAAATTGAAAGCTGAAATGAGCATACAAAAATTTGTATACACAGACTTTTGTTTTTAAGCAAAGATAATACTTAAACAACCTCTTCTAAAGCCCCTCTCGGGTTACTGAAGGCCACAAGCCCGGATAAAGGTCGAGGGTTGAGCATAGGGTTGGAGAGCCCATCCTGTAGAAAACTAACTTGTTAAAAAAAGCGTTTATTATTACTTTTGGTGAAAATGACTCAAATCATTTATTGATTTTCAATTTCTTTTAATGAATAATGAATAATAATATTTTTTTACCTATTCTACTTGTTACTAATCAGTTTTCAGTAGTTTGTGATGATTTCGACATATTTATGACTCATCTTTAACTGGATATACTTTTGACATCTAAGATTTGATATTCAATTTTGCGACTATTCTCTCAGAACACAGTCACGCTATCCATTTAGCTACTATGTTCAAATAGTCAGTCACTTTCTTATCGAATGAGGTAAAGATTAATTCATTTGTTGATATGCTTGTCAATCTGATATGCTTGAAACTGCTATTACGAGTTCATCTTACTCGATAAACGAAGCGAAGGCAAATGATCCAGTGACACGATGGGCTACTCTAATCTGAGTGTCCCTAGGCCCCACTAAATAGAGGAAAAAGACTTGAAAAGACGTAGAAAGTGTATTCTTCTACAAGCACTCAGAAAATATGACGTCTTTCAAGCACACAAATCAAGTTTATTTATACATGATAGAAACGCCCTTCGGAGAGCCACAAAATAGCCTACTATAATAATACATCAATCAATAACAGTCAAGGATTTTCCGGGGTGGGAAATGTAAGCTGAAGGTTGTCAACTAAGCAACTTATGCTCAAAACATAAAAAATCCAATATTCGGACCTTTTCCAAGTATGTTCTGGGGATCTAACATCCTTAACAGTATAAGCATATATAAGTGACAACGCCAGTAATAAAGTGTAACTGTTATTTAATTGACTAATGACAAATAAGATTAGACGCCCATCGTGAATTCTATCCTCAGCATAAATTCAAGTTCATGTTTGTATATTTAATAACGTTATACACAAGTTAATTCGTTTTTATTTAACAATGTTTTATCAGACTACTAATAAGTAGTATGAACATAAATGAGAAAAGTTATGACAATTTGAACATGGTAAAATTGATCAGAAACTAAATACTAATGAGGGAAAACTGTTAAATGCATTGATCAAAGAACTTACACGACAATTTATACAAACTCCACCACCTTCTAGTACACCATCTTTACGCATACTTAAACGTAAATTTGCAACTGTTTGATTATAAACACATTCATCCGCCTTTTGATTACAATTACATTCTAAAATAAATATTAAAAAAATATATATGTACATCGGAATATTTTCTTTGACAAAGTGTTTTTATGCACACATGAACGCAAATATATAAGTGTATTTGGTGTTCGATCAAACTGATCAAGGTAAAAAGCTGATTGTTTATTGATTTTCGATGAAATAAACTTTTAACATAGAATATTAACTTACCTACTTACGCCTGTTCCCTCTGATGGAGCATGGGCTACCGACTAGCATTCTATATCCTACTCTATCCTTAGTCTTCCTTTTCAGTTCTATACAGTTGTTCTTCATTCGACTCATATCTTTCTCTATTTCTCGGTGTAATATGTTCTTCGGCCTTCCACTTTTCTTTTCACCTTGAGGGTTCCAAGTGAGGGCTTGTCTTGTGATGCGGTTGGGTGGTTTTCGTAGAGTGTGTCCTATTCACTTCCACCACTTCTTCCTGATTTCCTCCTCCACTGGAATCTGGTTTGTAGGTTGCTGTTGATGGTGTCTGGCCAGCCAGTGCGAAGTATTTTGCGTGGATAACTGTTGATGAACACTTGAAATTTCTGGATGAGGGATTTTGTAGTTCTTCGAGTTTCTGTTCCCAATACTAGAACTGCCTTGATATTTGTATTGAAAATTCTGACTTTGGTGTTGGTTGACAGGAAGTTGTTTTGAGTTCCAGTTGTTGTAAAACTGTGGAAAGGCCGTCCTTGCTTTGCCGATCCGCACCCTCATATTTTCATCAGACCCACTTTCCTCATCAGTGATGCTGCTCAGATATGTAAAGGTTTTTACATCCTTCAAGGCATCTCCATCAAATGTGATTTGGTTAGTGCATGTTGTGCTGTATCGCAGAATCTTGCTTTTTTCCTTTTTGTGTATGTTGAAACTTGTTGCTGCTTAAGTTGCTGAATGTTAACCCCGGGTTTAATTTAATTATTTTATGCTGAGTTTTACTTATGTGACAAACTGTTGATCCATGGAAAAAGATCCACTTCAGGTCGATATATTCTTGTGTCCTATTCAATGTTAACTTTGTATTAACCTATAAGATGTTATTCCTAACTCAAAGTTTTTCCCACTAACTGTGGAGTAATATATCATACAAGTATACATGCGATAAAAAGTAATAATCCACTGAAGGTTGGAAGTACAGTTTCGTGAATAATCACAAACGTAGCATAACCTAAATGAAGTGATAAGCTTATCTAACACCTTGACAAAAATTAGTGAACTCGCATAAATGAGATTTGTTTACGTAGCTTGAGTTACACATTTTTGAAACCATGAATCGATCAATGTTAGACCACCATTAGAAACCTGGAAGCACTGGACGGCCGTATCATCCTGGTATGAAACTACTCATCAGTGACAGTGCGCATCCACGACTCACTGCACCCCGTAGGATCCGAACTCAGGACCTCCGGTACTGCGCGCGAACGCCTAACCTCAAGACAACTGAGTTGGTATGCAGAGCTGTTAATGTCTAAGTTCGATCAATTCACAGAGTTGCACAACCTCATACACAGTCTTCGGTAGTAGTTACTGTCTACACCCGAACAGGTTGAACTTCACTGGTCACGACTTTTCACTAGAACTCGGAGAAGAGTCCTCACAAAGCTAGTCACTAGTGAGCACAGGTAAGTTGCATTACAGGGGCTGTGAAGATTGTTAAGTTACACATTTTCAAACCACGATTAAGACTAGACATCCATGACCAATATTATATCTCATCGATTAGGAAATATCTATTTTTTTTAACAATCTCATTCTTTATTGATGAGAAGATTTTTATTCTCGTTATACTAATATTATTCACATTTGAAATGATTGATTGATGATTTCAAATGTGTAAAAACACAAGAGCTCCAAAACTCTGCCCGAAAATATCGTAACATGTGCTCACTAGTGACTAGTAGCTTCGTGAGGAAATTCTCGGAGTTCTACTTGAGAAGACGTAACCAATGGAGTTCAACCCTGTCGGGTGTAGGCAGTAACTACCAAAGACAAATAGGTGAGGTCGCACAAAATTCCGTAGATCAATCAGAGTTCGACATTAACACCGTCAGATGCCGAAGGTCCCGGGTTCGAATCCTGCGAGGGGCAGTACTGCTGTGAGTCCCATACCAGGACGAAACGGCCATCCAGTGATTCCAGGTTTCTAATGGTGCCCTAACAGTGATTGATAGATGGTTTCAAATGTGCAAAAACACAAAACCCCCAAAACTCTGCCCGAAAACTGTTATTATTGTTATTATTATTAAACATAAAACTTTGAATTAATCCATCTGGCGTATATCCCTTAGACACTCAGTCCAAGTCCCATTGTTGACGTCAATACTCGGATGAAAGTACATTTATTTGACAAATCTTGAATTCCACCTGATGGCCACCATTTCAACGATACTAAATATCGAATCATTTCAATGTAATTTATACTTTTTATCGATTGCATTTCTAATCAAATTTCAAGATAATTTATTTTCACATGAAATAATTGAATATTGATCAAATCATTATCATAGTAGATGTTAATGTGTAATGGGACATTGATTGGATGAAAGCATGATTGTGTTGTGTTGCACGCTGATTGGCTCTTTCGCATCCACCAATCAGCGCTAACTGATACTGAGGGAACATTCCACAATCTTTTCAATTTAAGATAACTATAAATATATACTAACATCTTTTTCCTTTGTACCTTGTGTCTTCCATTGTAACCCTTGATAATGGACTATAATCTCTATTTCCTGTTCAATCGTGTTCTGATTTCGATGGGAACGTCTCGAGTGAATTGATGTCCAAGAATACCTACTGTGAGCATTAGGAAATAGTTGGGTTGTAACAATAAAAAGGCGGAATGGGGGGAGAATTATAACACTTAGTTACCTTCACATATTCTTCCTGGACGCCATGGTTGTTGATTGAATAATGGGCAACATTTTTCACAATTATTTCCACATGTATTATGTTGACAGTCGCATACAGCACGAGGTACACCCTAAATAAATAAAGAAGTAGACAGTAAATGCATATAAATAGTTGGTTAGAGACTTGAAGCGAAACTTCATCAATGCAAGAGCCAGTAGTCCTACACATCGATTCATGAGATAGAAATCGGTTGATGGAATTGCGTAGGCCTGTAGTATAGTGGGTTGCCTGTTTTTACAGAGAATAATAATGTCTTACTGCTAATGAAGAGAAGGATTTCAAGTGGCCAAAAAGCATAGCATGTGTTCAGAAAACAGAAGAAGACAGTGTATAACCAATTTTCCTTTTGAGGAACACAACAAGACACATGCGGATAAATGAAGGTTTGGTGTTCATCCTTCACGGTTGATTCTGTAACTTGACGAAGAAGACATCCCTTCTGCCGCGTGGCTTGTTCGTACATATAGTGTTGTTATTGAAGATAAATCTAAGAGCAAGCTACCGGGCAGAAGGAATGTCTATTTAATGAAATTACAGAATCATTTTTTTTGTAAAATGCACATCTAGTCTGTACACCTCCTAAAATGCTTCTCTCAGGCAGCACTTACTTACTTACTTACTTACGCATGTTACCCCTAATGGAGTTTAGGCCGCTGACCAGTTTTCTCCAACCAACTCTGTCCTGGGCTTCTCATTGCAGTTCCGTCCAATTTTTGTTCATTCTTCTTATGTCTTTCTCTATTTCTCGGCGTAATATGTTCTTTGGCCTTCCTCATTTAATTTTGATCTTGAGGGTTTCAAGTGAGGGCTTGTCTTGTGACGCAATTAGGTGCTTTTCGTAGTGTGTGTCCTATCCACTTCCAACACTTCTTCCTCATTTCCTACTCCACTGTAATCTGGTTTGTTCTCTCCTGGTGTCTGGCCAACGAATCCGAAGTATTTTGCATAGACAACTGTTAATAAACACATGTATCTTCTGGATGATGGCTTTGGTAGTTCTTCTCCAAGTTTCCGCTCCATACAGTAGAACTGTCTTGACATTTGTATTGAAAATCCTGATTTTGGTTTTGGTTGAAAGTTGTTTGGAGTTCCAGATGTTTTTCAACTGTAAAAGTGCAGCCCTTGCTTTGCCGATCCACGCCCTCACATCTGCATCGGGTTTACCTTGGTTGTGGATGATGCTTCTCCGGCAGCAACTTCAATGTACTGTCCCACTACATACTACTTATAGGTAATCTTGTGTCTAGCACATCTTCCACACTATTACTTTGGTCAAGTTGATTTGCTAGGGCAATAGTAGATTGTCTTTGGTAAAGTATTATCCACTTATAGTTTAGCATCTTGAGAATCTTTCTTGTGCTTTCATTCCCCTAACACATCTCTGATGTATAGAAACTATCTAGGTTGACAGTTGGTATTATTAATTATGGAGTATTTCAGCCGGTAATTCTGAACATGAGGATTTACGAATAAAACGGGCTGCAAAGACAGTATATATATATATATATATATATATATATATATATATATATATATATATATATATATATATATATATAAATCAGAAGTGAATTTTAGCCAGTCTTTATTAATGTAAGTGTATCCTGTGAAAATTGACTTATTGCAGTTCGTTTGTCGCAAGTTTTATAGAATAGATGAATTTGATAAGCTCGCAGCTATTACGAGTTCACTTTACTCGGTAAACGGAACTAAGATCAACGATGCAGTAACACGATAGGCTATTCTACTCCAATAGTTCTGGGCTTTGCTAACTAGAAGAAGAAGTCTTGATAAGACGTAGAGAGAATGTATTCCACAAGCACCCAGAAAATTCGAGGTCCACGAGAACACAACTTAAGCCACAAAATAGTGTACTAAAATAATCCATCAACGGTCAAGGATTTTCGGAGTGGGAAATGTAAGCTGAAGGTCAAATAGGCGTCTTTGGCGCGAAAACATAAAAATTCAAAACTTCAGAAATAAACTACGGAATTTGGACCTTTTCCAAGTGAGTACTGGAGATCTAACGTCCCCAACAGAATTATAGTAAAGCAGTGAATTCACTAGGATAAAACATGGCTAACTGACGTTTGTAGCGAAAAGTACTGGGGTTTAAATTTGAATGTGAACATCAACAGTGGGATAAAAATATATACAGCTGAAGTGCGTGTTCGCAATTATCGCGATAGTCACAAACTATTCATACCATAGAAGATTGTGAAACTGTCAACAACAGAGAGTATTGTAAAACCAATACTCAACGCTTAGGAAATTCTCACTGAGTAAAAGAAAACTGTGTCATTAGGTTTGGTATATAATCTTATGCTCCACAGTACCATCTTCAGTTTTCGATTACAAGTTTGAACATTATAGATCCTATACACATCTTTTCAGATCCATCTCGTTTGAAACTTGTAATGGAACACTTCTACGAAGAGAAAATACAATTGGTGAAAAGGAAATATTTATTATTGTACTCCTTTTGTTTAACTGTACTAAAAGCACAACTTTCTGTTTTTGTGTGTTACTGTCATCCTTCATAACTTGCTGCTCACTGTATCGCCCACTTTCTCCTTCAAATATAAATTCTTTACCCTGGATTTACTTTTTATCAATCGTGATGGGCTAGTAATTAGTATTTAGTGGTGATCATCAATCAATCTCGACTCGGTCACTATTAAAAACTCATGAGTAAAAATTCAGCAGCACAGAAGATAACAATCTTTTTCTGTTTGTCCACAATGACTCTACACACAAGTAGTTGATTATAGATATTTTCATAGCTTTAAACCAGTGTCCAAAAATTTTGGGAAATAAAATGATTATTAATTCCGCCTGGAGCCCCATCTGGGGCTTATTTTAATTAATGAGTCTAATTGTAGTGAAGGAGAACACAGGTGAGGGCAACCGGATTGTATTTAACGAAAATTACAGAGTTACTCAGTAAAATCGAAAAACCATATCGTAAATCGTTCATTTGCAAAATATCAGTCCATCATCATATCGAACTGGACTGTTCCTGTTGCAAAACATCAATCCATTGTCACTCACTATTCATGCGTTTCATACAAATTCCATTGTGTTCCCCCCACTCTTCCTTTCTTGATCTTCCCCCTCATCTTCTGCTGCCAGACATTACGTTGACGCTCGCGTCATATACTACTTATAAGCAGCTCGCGCCACATAATCAATAGCAAGATTATACTTTATAATTTGTAGATACTTAGTAATTGCTTTGATTAAAACACGATATCAACTGTATCACATTCGCAAATACACAACAGAATGACACACTACAACTGAAATTTTGCCTATCATCAAATGTGTAACTCGAATAATTTTGAAAACGAAAAAACAAAATAATTTCAGTTGAAAATAAATGGCTTAGTTTTAATATATATTTAACTAAAGTGTAGGATTCGTCACTAGGTACGCTTGAAGCTATTACGAGTTCATCTTAGTCGATAAACGTGAACGAGACAATGAACCAGCGTCCAGATAGGCTACCTTGAATCCCAATCTGAAGTAAAAAAGGGCTTTGTAAGCGTAGAAAGTATATTCTACAAACACCCAGCAATCACACAATACAATCAAGAACACAACTCTCGTTTATTAATACATCATAGTGACGTCCTTGGGACAGTCACAAAATTAGAACACTAAAATACACAGCAGTCAATCACAGTCATGGATTTTCCTGGTGGGAAATGAAATCTCAAGGTCAACTGATCAGCCCATGCTGGCAAACGTGAAATCCAAAATTAAGTCATTTAACAAACGAGTTTTGGGGATCTAACATCCCCAACAATAAATAAATAAGAATTATGGCTGATCCTGTGACGGATGTGTGTTGGGGGCGTTAGATCTCCAGAACTCACTTGGAAAAGGTCCTAATTTTGTAATTTTATTGTGAAATTTTGAAATTCCATGTTTTCGCGGCAGTTGACCTTCAGCTCACATTTCCTCCCCCGGAAAATCCTTGACTGTTATTGGTTGATGGATTATTTTAGTAGGCTATTTTTGTGACTCTCACAGAGGCGTTTCTATCATTGTATAAATAAACTCGATTTGTGTGCTTGTGAACCTCATATTTTCTGGGTTGCTTGTAAAATACACTTTTTACGCCTTATCAAAACTTCTTAATATATAGTTAGCTGGGCTGGGGACAAACGGATTAGAATAGCCTATCGTGTCACTGCATCATTTATCTTCGGTCCGTTTATCAAGTAAGGTGAACTCGTAATAATTCAGTCATATTGTGGTGTGAGCTACTTATAAGTAGTATATGACGTGAGTGTCAACGTAATGTCTGGCAGCAGAAGATGGGGGAAGATCAAGAAAGGAAGAGTTAGAAAACAATGGAATTTGTATGAAACGCATGAATAGTGACATTGGATTGATGTTTTGCAACAGGAACAGTCCAGTTCGACATGATGAACTGATATTTTGCAAATGAACGATTTACGATATGGTTTTCCAATTTTACAGAGTAACTCTGTAATTTCGCTAAATACAATTCGGTTGCCCCACCTGTGTTCTCGTTCACTACAATATCAATTGTTTGTGGGCTTATCAGTTCTTTGGTGGTGGGTATTTGATATAATTCCGTATACTGCTTGTCTTGATAACTGTTACTAAACAACACTCAATGATGTGTACAAATCAGAAGACGAATACAAAAAGGTTGATTACGCTAATTATCACACCATGCACAAATCATAAAAAACCACAGGCACACGACGCGAAAGTGAAAATGACATGAGAAAGCTAAAGAGCAAGCCACTGAACGCACTTGTAAGTAGGATTAAAATGTACTTATTTATATACATAGGAAAATGAACGAGTCATCGAATTATCTAAGAGGTTAACAAATTCAATCGAATAGAATGAATATGCGGGTAGGCGGTAAGCAATGCTCATTCGTATCTGCTCATACAAACGCGACAATAATAAAAGCACTGTGGTACAGATAAGTTATTCTTATAATAGACGAATGACTCTGTCTGTTCTAATAAGTTAATCAAATAGGGCTTACTTAAACCAGATTAACTGTGAACAAACTCGAATGTATGTGAATATACTTACGATACATCAGTGAGTATGTGTTAACTTACAAATAACTATTGATATTAAAGTTCTTATTAGACTACTCTTTGGTAATGATCTTTGAGTAGATAATGCAAAAAAAACTCGTAATTTTTCAGATAAATTCTTATCAGATTTTTACTTGATTCTAGCAGTCAAACTTACTTCAATTGTTTTTTGTTCACATCGACTAGCATGACTATTGCATACACATTTTCCACCAACTTTAATTGTTCGAATTGAATAATAATACTAAAATTTAAAAAGAAAATAATTGAAAATTTTGGATAAATAAAAAAATTGAAATATACACTTGTATGAATAAAACTGAAATTATTTTAAAGATCTTCCCATACGTAAGATACTTAAATGTGTTATAAATTTGCTGATTTATTTTAGCCTACTTACAAGTAGTTTAACTTTAAAATAAAAATTAATTCACAAATCAAAGTAGGAAATATTAAAAACTTTCGTGCTAGTAGCGTGAAACTATAACCTTATCATTGAATGAATTTATGACCTTCAGTTTCTGTACCAGAGAATGGCAAACTATCTCGAGATAGTTATTAGATTTACTGTGACAGCCATATACCTGTTTTCTCACAAGCGATGTTTTCCAATTGCTTGAATCTGAAAAAAAACATACGAGTCATTTGTTCATTTCAAAGGTTTGATTTGTTTTTAGAAAGTTTGCTAAATTTCAACAACTGAACAATCGGTTATATTGAAATTGTGAATCGCTCAATGTTGGATCACAATTAGAAACTAGTTAAGCACTAGACGGAAGCATAAATCAGTGCCTACCGAACACAGTGGATCAGATTGCGCAAGATTGTGAATTGATCGAAGTTAGACATTAACACTGTTGAATGACAGCTTATTGGTTTAGATGTTAGGGTTCACAAGCGATATCCAAGGTCCTGGGTCCGATTCCCGTGTGTTCAGGGGTCGTGAATACGCACTGCTGATGAGCCCTATATGGGGACGAAACGGCCGTACAATGATTCCATGAAACTCAATTACTTCTATAATGCTCTAATGAAAATAATCACTGATCATCAAAAGAATGAGGACATCACTGAAAATAATCAAGTGTCTAAAACCTTCACCAAAAACCAGTAAAATACTTTCAAAACAATTCCCACCTTCAAGTAACTTTTGATAAACCTTTTCCGTATTTAAAATGGCATTGTTTATTTAATAAGTCAGTGAAAAATTTTTATTATTATCATTACGAAAACCATAAATACTGGATAAATTTTTCAATTGAACAATCTTCATGACATGTTTATTTGGCCTGATTCTAACAATTCTCTAAAAATCTTAAACATCCGGTCAATTTCATTATATTTCATACCTATATATATATATATATATATATATATATATATATATATATATATATATATATATAACACAATCATTGAAAAATGGACACAATGTGCGCGTGCGGTTGGTTATTCAATGAAAAATAAACCCGGTCAATTTCTCTTATAGGTTAGGTGAATTGTGACACACAGTCATTCAGATATATATATATGTATATATAAGTGTCATTTGGATGCAATAACCGTATTGTTACTCAATGAATAACACTTGTCTACTACAATTACTGTTACTACTTCCACTCCTCCGACTAGTACTACTACTACTACTCCGACTACTACAACTACTACTACTACTACTACTACCCATCTGTACATATTTTGTGGTAAAATATTGAATTTCAGCTAAAATACATAGTAGCTGTTATGATGATTATCAATATTACTATTATGATAATGATTATTACGGTTAGGCTTATCAAGTTTCGCAAATCTGAAATAAATTTAGGCCATTATAGACAATAATCATTATATCTAAGGATAGTTAGAAATTATATTCACTTAGAATTTCGTGTACTGAGAGAAAATTTATTTTCGTTTATTTATTGAAAATTGAATCACTTTAATTTTGTTTTAAATTTTAAAAATTTACTATTTGTTTGTTTATTTTATAATTAAAAATAAAGCAACGAATTTTTACTAAAATTAAATATTAATTAATGTCTAATCATGTCTAATCGATATTATTATCATGAATAAAACCAAAGTAAATTTTCAATAATAAAATTAACAACAAAGAGAATATTCACATTGAACTTTGAATTTCTCAAGTTTTTCTCTCTATTATACCGAATATGATATGAAACAATCCTGACCATGGCTGCTAGTTTGATGTGGTGGTTGGGTATGCCTATTGTGATGATCTAACCAAGCTATACTAGATGGAAGAAAATGTTCCTGAAGGTTCTACCATGTCAGGCAGGTCTACTGGAGACTAAAAGCAGCTACTCAAGATCTGAGGGCGAAATTGTACTACTGACTGACTGTAGAGAGATGTGACAGCAGTAATGTGTTCCCCCCTCGGACAACAAGCAGCATCTTCAACGATGCTGCTTTTGCACAAAGGAAGGAATGAGTTAGAAAAGATCAACCCCCAAAACTGCCACAATTCACAAGCTGTGTGACCTCAAGCAGTTGTCCCTTTGGCTCTGTGGTCACGCTCGCAGTTCTCTGTGACCAACTCTTCATTGGTCGAAACATGTTTTCCTTTAGGTCCTGCAATACCAGGCAGGTCGACTGGAGAACGACCGGTGAGACTATAAGCAGCAACTCAAGATCTGAGGGCGAAATTGTACTGCTAACTGTAGAGGGATGTGACAGTAGTAAGGTGTTTCCACCAGACAACTAGCATCTGCAGCGATATTGCCTTCAACCAAGGAAGGAATGAGTCATAAAAGGTCGATCCTAGAATGTCACACCTCACCTTACCCCATGGATCACCGCCTTCAGCGAAGAAACCCCTTTGAGGAGCAGAGCTAACTCGTTTAAAACATCTCATAAAAAGCTGTGCGTGATCGGCCTCAAGCAGTTGTCCCTTTGGCTCTACGGTCACGCTCGCAGGTCTCTATGACCAACGCTAATCTAACTTTCTTTACAGATTTCTCAAGAAATACCCTTTCACGATGTGGACAACCGGGAAGTGACATCCACTCTTGTATCCGTCACAGTACACGAGGCCAAACATAATCAACGTACCGAACCATATAAATATATCTATGTACATACATATAGATATTCACATAGATAATGACAGAATGAAGAAAAAATCTAATTTAGACCAAACAATGATAAAAATGTTTATAATTATTGATTTGTGAATTGTGTAATTTACCGGTAAAATGTGAAATATTTTATTTACAGATTCATAAAAATGAATTTCAAATGATTATTTATGTGTGTTTAAAACGATTGTTCATGATGTTCACAACAACAATGAAATTATTTTCACAGTGAACAAGTTTTTGCAATGTGAATATATTTATTGTTTAGTATGGAGATGGTCAGACAATCAATATGACTGAATTTATTAAAATTATGAACTGACTAGTGCTGTACTGATCAATGAAACCTGGAAAGCATTAAATGACCGTTTCGGCCTAGTATGGGACACAGCCGAAGTGTGTATCCATCAGTCCACATGTGATGCGAGCTACTTATAAGTAGTATATGACGTGAGTGTCAACGTACGTAATGTCTGGCAGCAGAAGATGGGGGGAAGATCAAGAAAGGAAGAGTGGGGGGAACACAGTGGAATTTGTATGAAACGCATGAATAGTGAGTGACAATGGATTGATGTTTCGCAACAGGAACAGTCCAGTTCGATATGATGAACTGATATTTTGCAAATGAACAATTTACGATATGGTTTTCCTATTTTACTGAGTAACTCTGTAATTTTCGTTAAATACAATTCGGTTGCCCCCCACCTGTGTTCTCCTTCACTACACATAAGCAGGAGTCGAAACTGGGATGATGATGATCACGTGTATCGTGTGTACGAACGCCGCTTAACTTCTTAGATCATGTAACCGGTATCCGATGGGGTGAATGTTTAACTTGATAAGTTTTAGTGAAACTCAACAAACTAGAACAACCTTATATTCGTCAAATAATTTGAGCATATATAGTGTTACCTTATTGTCACAATGAAATAAGTAGTATATAGTATTAGCTGTCAGCTAATTTCTATTTATAGAAATATTTATACTCGAAAACAATGAAATAAGCTTCAGTTTAGGAATTAGACAAATTTGATTTATACTATAAGGTTGTTGTGCAGATTATTGAGTTACGTTTTGAAATCATCAGTCGAGGATTGTTTGAACAACATTAAAAATGTGAAAACACTGGATGGCCGTTTCGTTCTAGTATGAGACTCATCAAGCAGAGTGGTCATTCACGACCTTCACAAGCGGGACTCGAACCCAGGGCCTTGTATCTTGCGCGTAAACGCTTAAACTCTGAACCACTGAATTAGCATCCGATGGTGCTAATTTCTAACTTCCATCAATCCATAGTCTTGCGCAGCCTTATTGATTGTCACCGGTGGGCACAGCTTCACAATCGACAAAGTTAAACTCCAATGGACTGAGTTTCTCATGGAGCTCGTTCTTAGTGAGTACATTAAAGGGTTGTATAGATAGTTGAATTTCATTGAAATCATCAATCGATCATTGTTATATCCCTAGTAGATCACTGTAATAATGACTGAATATTAGAAATCTATCTCTCAAACGTAGTTATCGATGAACACTGATTTGTGAAACACATTTTCACGTCTACTCCAGTGTGTTTCACTGATTCTGAATACCGTCAAGTTGTGTTTTTTTTTATTTCTACAGTGATTTCAATGACTCTCACGGTTTCCCATATTGTACAAACATTTCATATACCTATTTTAATGATTGTTCTGGTTTTCAGGAGGGTTATCAGCTTCGTGACTCTAACAAAATCGTGAATAGATTTAATTTAACTGTTCATTAATTATTAGTTTAACAGAAAAATAGATTTATCTGATTTATCCCCGACTCCTGCTACTCACAGAAATCGGATCCATAACCTTCAGTCTTTCGAGCGAACACCTAACCTATGGACCACTGAACCGGCATATAACAATGTTAATATCTAACTTCAGTCAATCCAGGGTCCTGCACGGCCACATCCATTGTACTCGGTGAGCACTACTTCACACCCGAACAAAAGTTGAACTCCATGACTTTTCACAAGAACTTGGAAAAACTTCCTCATTCAGCTAGTTTGACTTTACCATAGTATATAAGGAACTTGAAAAAGATTTTTTTAAAATTAAAATTCTTTCTTTTCTTATCTAGTGGAATTTAAACACTTCATAAAAAACAGAAGTCTGAATATGTGAACTACTGATTTGTAGTACTTACCCTATTATAAACAGAACTATCTAATTGATTCGGCATAGCCATCCAATCACCAGAAAGTGTTTGTAATTGTTGAAAACGTAATCGTACAAATCTGGCTGATAAGAAATCCTGGATAAATCAATAAATATTGGAAAAAAAGATAATTTATAGCACTACGATATTACTGATATCTACTTAAATGAGTATGATTTAGGAAAATTGAATTTTTTCGGATCATATAGTGGAGTTTTGTTCTCTGAGCTAGTTGATTTGGTTGTGGAGCTTTCATTCCTCTTCAAAACAAACTTTATGTACAAGTGAATTTTCTAAATTTCTTCACATATAATCTGTGACCTATCCTTTTAACTTCGATCATGACTAGCTACGAATCGACTTATAACCTGTCAATATGTAACTCCACCTGGAGCTGTTCTGGGGTTACTGCCGGTCCCAAGCCCAAGGAATCCGACTATTAGTGAGACTGTCGAGGAGAAGGATGGTCTTAATATTCATTCTCACGCCAGGCGATTTAATCGATAGGTAGAACACTTTAGGGATCACTTCAACTGAGCTTCAGCCACACATAGGCTACTTATGTTCTTCATTTGACCTGTATGGCAAGTTCTTGTAAGTCCTCTGACTGTTTATGAAGTTGAAAAGGCTATAAGAAATCTGAAGCAAGGGAGAGCAGAGGGTTTTGACAGATTGACCCCTGAGAATTTTAAAGATAATCGTCCAGTTTTAGCAGTGGATTTGACTGAGATCTTAAGTAGAATCCCATTTGACTAATCTCAGTCACTGATTATCCCGATGAATCGATCGCTGATCCTTTTTGATTACCGCTAATACTTCTACTAAGTCTACTACTACTCTGGGATTTGAATTGACAATTTGATCTTTGTGTGGCAACGCGGTATGACAACTTGAACTAATGCACATACGTATGAAGTTCTACAATGTAGCTAACTGAGTAGTGACATCTTGTTATCAATATTCATACTGCATCATAGAAGACCTTCAAACATGAATACAAGAAATAATTATGTCTGGGGACATTAGATCCCCAGAACTCGCTTGATAAATGTCTTTATTTTCCGGATTTTATTGATGGGCTGATCAGTTGACCTTGAGATCACATTTCCCAACAGGAAAATCCTTGGCTGTGATTGGTTACTGTGGTACGTTACTATGATGTATAAATAAACGTGATTTGTGTGCTTGGATTAATTGTGTGCATGCTGGGTGTTTGTAGAATACACTTCCTACGTTATATCAAGACTTTTTCGTTAGTTCCTTTGAGTCAACGGATCAGAGTAGCCTACCCGAACACTGGTTCATTGTCTCGTTCTCGTTTATCGACTAAGATAAACTCGGAATAGTAGTTTCAAGCAAAAAAAATTAATAATAAAGTCAACTATCCAAATTAATCAACGAATAACTTACAATTAATTTTGATGAGATTGGCGTTTCAAGACCGGATTCCGTTGAAATGGTACTTTCACGATCCAATGTCAGAGTGACAATAATTTCACCTGATTGTAATGCTTGTGGTTGACTATAAAATGTTGTACAATAAACCTGAAACAAAACAAAACGAAACAAAAAACATTTCAAATAAGACAGGAAAAAAATATAGTGAAAAGAAATATTTTTATTTGTGTTTCGATAATACTACTAATAATACTACTGATAATCATAAAAAAATTCACTTCACTATTGAGCCTGATGAGTTTTTTTGTACGTTGAGATGATTAGATTTGCCCGAATATAAAAAAGGAAGAAAATTCGTTGATCTGTGATTTAAAAATAATCAACTGATTACTGTTTATAGTAGTGTGGTGTGTGCTACTTATACGAGCGATATAAGTAGTATAAGAAGGGACGTGACAGAAGAAGTCTCACGGTCAGAAGAGGAAAACGGAAAGCAAATGGAGCAAAAGCAAGAATTAAATGGATTATTAACAGGAAGGAAAGGAAGCAACAACAGGAATGGAAGAAGGATGGAGCGTTGGAAGTCACGACTCAAAGATGGTGTGCACACAGAGTGTTCAATCAATGTAATGTTTTCGTTTTTAACTGACTCAGAGTGTAAATTTGCTGAATACAATCTTCCTCGCCTGCCTCAGTCTTCTCACTAGTACATCAATTATTTTGTTACGTATGTGTTTTTATTTTGTGATTGATTATAAACATGGCGTTATACGGTTGTGGAGATTGTCGAGTTTCATGAACTGATCCATGTTAGATTGTAATTAGAAACCTGGAAGTACTAGACAGGTGTTGAGTGTCGTGTGTTAGGCAGTTATCTACCCGACGATAGTGGATGAAATCAAGTAGTATTTCCTAGATTGATCGAAATTAGATATTAACACTATCGGATAACGGCTAAGTAATCTAGATGTTAAACAATCACGAGCAAGACTCAGGGTTTTAGTTAAGACTTCCGCTTGCAAAGTTATAAATGCGCACATCTGTTGAGTCCTATATTAGGCTGAAACCGCTATCTCTAATGCTTCCGGGTTTCTAATGATACACTAACACTGATCATTTGTATGAAAAGGTTGTAGAGATTGTTGAGTTACTATTTGAAATCATCGATCGATCATTGTTAGAACACTGTCAGAAATGTGGAAGCACTAGACAGCCATGTTCATTCACGCCTTCACAAGCGGGACTTTCGATTTTTATTTAGTGTTTAAATAATACGAATACTACTAATAATTCAATTCAGTTCACTATAGAACCTGATCAGTTTTTTATACGTTGAGATGATTTCCATTTACCATAATTACAAAAAAATGAACGCGAACAGGTTGAAATGATCAACACACATATACTAATGTGGTGCGCGCTACTTATAAGTAGTATATGACGTGAGTGTAAACGTAATGTCTGGCAGCAGAAGAGGATGGGGGAAGATCAAGAAAGGAAGAGTGGGGGGAACACAATGGAATTTGTATGAAATGCATGAATACGTGAAAGGTCAGACAATGGATTGATGATGGATTGAAGATTTGCAAATTAACCGTTTACGATATGGTTTTCCTATTTTACCAATTAACTCTGAAATTTGTGATAAATGCAATTCGGTTGCCCTCACCTGTATTCTCCTTCACTACACTAAGAGCAATGGAAGAATAGTTAAAATTATCATGGATTATAGAAAATATTTTAACCATAGACAATAGGATGTTTTTCTTGCAAAAGAAAGTATCACTCGATGCTGTGTGTAAGTAGCATGATATATTTCATGTGAATTATTAACTTAATAAAATATATATGAAACAAGAAAATTAATTGTTCAGGTCTGAAGTAGTGCTCATCGAAAACAACGAGTGAGATTATACAAGACTGTCGACTGATCGAAGTTAGACATTAGCACCGTTAGATGCCGGCTCAGTGGTCTAGAGGTTAAGCGTTCGAGCACAAGACCGATGGTCCTAGGCTGTAGGAGTCGTGGATGCGCACTGCTGATGAGTCCTATACCAGTACGGAACGGCCGCCCAGGGCTTCCAGGTTTCTAATGATGGTCTAACATTGATCGATTTGTGGTTTCGATGAAGCTCAACAATTTCTACAACACTTTCATGCAAATGACTTGTGTTAGACCTGACACTCGTTATCATCATCAATAACAACATAGAACTTCGTACATAGGTACATCAGTTCAAGTTGCTGTACCACATTAGCACAGAGATGTAATTGCCAATTTAAATCGCGTAGTAGTAGAGGTAGTAACATTATTAGAAGTAATCGGAGAGATTAGGGTTCGAAGATGTTATTCAAGAAGTAGAATCTAGTGAAATAGATTTAGAAAGATAATGTGATGAAGAATTAAAAAGCTTAGGATATGAGAGAACACAAAAGATCAATGCACCTGCGTCATTGCAGACGGTTTCCAGCCATGTCATTCAGGGTCTCGCGGACCCCAACCAGGCAGTCTACACCTACCGACATGACTCAGTCCACTTGTCAGTGACTTTATGGATTTGTGCCATGTTTTGGTTTGGCCACCACTAGCTTTCGTCCAACCTATTTCTACACCGCAAAACATAGCTCGACAAGGCAGTCGATGGTTAGGCATACGCAACACATGTCCCAACCATCTCTACTGATGAAGTTTCATTACTTCATCTATTGATCTGCTATTCTTACCTAGCACCTGTTTACTAACAACAGCAGTGTTTACTCGGTTGTCCCACGATACAAGAGCAATGCTTTGGAGACACCTATGATCGCGAACCAGAAACCTACGAATATCTTCAACTCTGGCCATGTCTCATAGCCATTAATTAGGATGGAGTGAACTACTGCGCATTAGACTCGTCCTTTGGTTAGCGAACGGATATCTTGCCTACACCATAGGTGACACAAATTCACCAAAACTAAATCGAACCTTCTGTATCCATGCTGAGATTACGTCAATCACCAACCCATCGGCACTGATGAGATTCCCCATATAGGTGAAGTTGTCTACATGCTCGACTATCTTCCGACACTTAACGGCAAGTCAGTGCTTTCGGATTTCTAATTACTATCTAACATTGATCAGTTCATGATTTCAGTGAAAATGGACAATCTTCACAACCTAATGACGACTATTGTAAACCAAATGACTCAACATGTTTCAGAAACTATAATTATTATTCAATTGAATACATATTTTCGTATAAATTATCAATCAGCATTGTTTATAAACAGCTATAAAATAAAAACACTTATGTCAACAAAATAATCGATGTACTACTACAAAGTAATCACGGCAAAGCAAGGGCTGCATTTCTACAATTGAAAAATACCTGGAACTCCAAACAAATATCAATGAACACCAAAATCAGCATTTTCAATAGAAATGTCAAAACAGTTCTACTGTATACAGCGGAAACTTGGAGATCTACGAAAGCCATCATCCAGAAGATACAAGTATTTATTAACAATCGTCCACGCAAAATAGCTCGTATTCGTTGGCCAGACACCATCAGCAACAACCTTCTGTGGGAGAGTTGGAAATCAGGAAGAAGCGGTGGAAGTGGATAGGACACACATTACGAAAAGCACCTAATTGTGTCACAAGACAAGCCCTCACATGGAACCCTCATAGTGAAAGGAAAAGAGGAAGGCCAAAGAACACATTACGCCGAGAAATAGAGAAAGATATGAGAAGAATGAACAAAAATTGGACAGAATTAGAAAGGGAAGTCCAGGACAGACTTGGTCGGAGAAAACTGGTTGGCGGCCCGATGCTTCATTGGGGGTAACAGGCGTAAGTAAGTCAGTAAGTAAGTAAGTAAGTAAGTAAGTAAGTAAGTAAGTAAGTAAGTAAGTAAGTAAGTAAGTAAGTAAGTAAGTAAGTAAGTAAGTAAGTAAGTAAGTAAGTAAGTAAGTAAGTAAGTAAGTAAGTAAGTAAGTAAGTAAGTAAGTAAGTAAGTAAGTAAGTAAGTAAGTAAGTAAGTAAGTAAGTAAGTAAGTAAGTAAGTAAGTAAGTAAGTAAGTAAGTAAGTAAGTAAGTAAGTAAGTAAGTAAGTAAGTAAGTAAGTAAGTAAGTAAGTAAGTAAGTAAGTAAGTAAGTAAGTAAGTAAGTAAGTAAGTAAGTAAGTAAGTAAGTAAGTAAGTAAGTAAGTAAGTAAGTAAGTAAGTAAGTAAGTAAGTAAGTAAGTAAGTAAGTAAGTAAGTAAGTAAGTAAGTAAGTAAGTAAGTAAGTAAGTAAGTAAGTAAGTAAGTAAGTAAGTAAGTAAGTAAGTAAGTAAGTAAGTAAGTAAGTAAGTAAGTAAGTAAGTAAGTAAGTAAGTAAGTAAGTAAGTAAGTAAGTAAGTAAGTAAGTAAGTAAGTAAGTAAGTAAGTAAGTAAGTAAGTAAGTAAGTAAGTAAGTAAGTAAGTAAGTAAGTAAGTAAGTAAGTAAGTAAGTAAGTAAGTAAGTAAGTAAGTAAGTAAGTAAGTAAGTAAGTAAGTAAGTAAGTAAGTAAGTAAGTAAGTAAGTAAGTAAGTAAGTAAGTAAGTAAGTAAGTAAGTAAGTAAGTAAGTAAGTAAGTAAGTAAGTAAGTAAGTAAGTAAGTAAGTAAGTAAGTAAGTAAGTAAGTAAGTAAGTAAGTAAGTAAGTAAGTAAGTAAGTAAGTAAGTAAGTAAGTAAGTAAGTAAGTAAGTAAGTAAGTAAGTAAGTAAGTACAAAGTAATCAGTTGATTTTTTTTGTCTAGCCACAGATTAAACAAATTTTCTTCATACATATTCAACTAACATATGTTATTGATATGATATTTTGTACGAAATACTTGAAGTGTTATCTTCATACTGATTGGTTCATTGGAGAATGTCAGTAGATTAGACTGTTACCGAACAATTTACAGCAGTTTGCTTTGTTGTGATTTGTTGTCAATTCATTCATTTAGCTAGACAAAATCATTTTTATGTATGTGAAAGAACTTTGAATGTTGTTTTCATATAGAAGGGTAACAGTTTATCTGATTTCCAACTTCTAATTATTTTGATAAACGACGTCAGGATCTTCAGTCTTAAGCTCAAATGCCTCACTTTCAGACTACTGAGAAAAGTACAAATTTTCATGTTGGCTAAAAGTTGTTAGTAAATGATTTTATCAATCATGAATGAAGACAATCAATCTTTTCATATGTTATGTCAATAATATAAAGGTACATTTTTTATTATAGGGTTGTGGAGGCTGGTGTTTTACACTGAAATCGTGATTTACTCATTGTTAGACCATCATTAGAAACTTGGGAACACTGGACAATGGCCATTTTGTTCTGTCATAGGACTTATCTCTAAACCTCTGGATTAGAATTTAAGCATCCACGCACAGGATCGAAAGTCTTGAGTTCAATTCCCACGAGTGGCGGGAGTGGTGGATATGCATCGTCGATGAATCCCATACCAGGAAGAAACGACTGTCGTCCAGCGCATCCTGTTTTTTCTAATATTATTGGTTCATTTATATCCAATATCTTTTACACGAGCTACTATAAACCTATTGATTTGTTTACGCTGGATTCTTATTCTTTCAGTACGGTTCCATGTGTTTGGTAGTGTCCAATGAATGAGGGTTTGGCCACTCGACTGTCTAATTCTAGTCAGCTGGTAGTTGGTTGTGAGTTTGTATGTCAGGTGATTTGAATGAAAACGTTTGTTTCAAGGCATTAGGGTTTCTGTATACCAGCAGCTATCAGATTACCAGACCGGAGATCAGTTAGTTGCAGTGTGAAGAATAATAAGGAGAAAATTCTAATGCTAATAAGAAGAGGATCTCAGAACTAAGTAAGTAAATAGATAATTTAATTTATTAATTGATAGTGAAGATTGTGCGAGAGGACCGTAATGTAAGCAAGGGCGAGGAAACATAGATAATAGACGAGATAGAATAATTGAGTTATCTGAGGAGATAGCAATAATAACAACGTAGCAGGTCTCAAGATATGCATCAGGCATAGCTTGTCGAAGAGGGAGATGATAATCCGTATGTGAGTACATGTTTATCAAGTCTCTTCTTAAAGCTAGCTGTCCACTGAGGAGGCTGTGATCACCTCGGCTGGGTGGATGGAGGTGGAGCATTCCAAGTTGCAATGACTCTTCAGTGAGAAAAAAGTAAGTATGCATAAACTCTAAGTATTCACTCTTCAATGAGTAATTTTTTTCAATAATACACTTTATCATAAACTTAGTTCACTTACTTCATCATCACCTAAATGCCATGGTCTTGGTCCACTTGTTATTGTTAATGGACGATAATTATTCAATGGTTCATATAGCTTTTTACAATCATATTCAGTTTTAGCAAAAAATACCCATGGATAATAGGTATCACCATCTATTGAACGTTCTAATATCCAATTAGCTGGTCTTGGACTATCACCCATACGTAGAAGAACATAAACAATTTGATATACCTTTAGAGAAAGAAAGAGAAAAGGAAATTAATTTTAAGTTCTTTTTGCTCAGTTTATATGTTATTATATCTTATTAAACGTACAGTATGAACTCCGCCTGGAGTCCTTCTGGGCCTGCTGTCGGTTCTAAGCTTGGATAAAGGAGGAGGGTTGGGCCTAGGGGTTAGCTACTTCATCCCATCGAAAAAGTAACTCACTAAAACAACACTAATCATTTAAACTTTGCCCTAGGAGTTAGAAGGTCTTCATTTAAAATAGTTTTGACGTCTAATGGAATTAGGTACTTGTTATGCACGTGAAACCTGGAAGTAGTGGACGGCAGTTTCGTCCTAGTGTGGGACTCATCAGCAGTGCGCATCCACGATTCCTGCACCTCACAGGATTCGAACCCGGGACCTTTGGTACTGTGCGCGAACGCCTAACCATTGGACTACTGGTCCGGCATCCAACGGTGTTAATGTCTAACTCTGATTGATCTAGGGATTTTGCGCGACCTCACCCATTAGTCTTTGGTAGTTATTGCCTACACCTGACAGGGTTGAACTCCACTGGTCGCGTCTTCTCACTAGAACTCCGAGAATTTCTTCACGAAGCTAGTCACTAGTGAGCACTATTACGATATTTTCAGTTAGAGATTTGGAGATTTATGTTTTTACACATTTGAAATCATCAATCAATCACTTTTTCACTCTCGTGATAAAGTACTCAGTTACAATGGCAAAGGGAATTGATCTCCGTGAAAATATCAATTCTGAGAAGATAATCAATATTTCATGTTGACGAATTTCAGTAAGTGAGATTATTTTCTATGATTCAACACTATCCAGAATATATCATTATCTGAAGTTCAAACAGTTAGTCAGTCAACAACAGCATAGAACTTCGTAAGTACGTACATCAGTTCAAGTTGCCATAACACATTAGCACAGAGCTGCAATTATCACTTCAAATCCCATAATATTAAAGGTAGTAGAAGTATAAGCAGCAATCGGAGAGATTAGAGTTCGAAGATATCCTTCAACAAGTATAATCTTTTGAAATTAACTTCAAAAGAAAAAAATAAATTGATGACGAATTAAGAAGATTAGGATTTGAAAGAACACAAAGAATAAATGCACCTGCGCCATTGCAAACGGTTTTGAGACATGTCATTCAGGGTCTCTAACCATCGATTATTATCATCTCGCAGACCCCAACCAGGTAGTCGACAACTACCGAAATGGCTAAATCCACCTGTCAATGGCTTCATGGATTTCTGCCATGTTTTGGTTTGGCTGCCCCTAGCTTTCTTCCAACCCACTCCTACACCTTAAAACATCGCTCGATGAGTCTGTCTGTGGTTGAGCATTCGTGGCACATGAATTTTAATTACTTGATCTATTGATTTGCTATCCCTACTTAGGACCCGTTTCCTAACTGCAGCATTACATACTCGATAGTCTCAAGATTAATGAGCAATGCTTTGGGGATAATGATGATCAAAAACCATTAACCTACGAATATCTTCTACTCTGGCTGGCCATGTTTCGCAGACATAAAGTAAAACGGAGCGAAGTAATGTGCAGTAAACTCGTCCTTTGGTTAGCAAAAGCCAATCTAGCCATCTGTATGTTTGCTGAGATTTTTTCAGTCACCAGGCCATCAGCACTGGTGAGACTCCCAAGATAAGTGAAGTGGTCAACACGTTCAAATGCTTCTGAAATTAGTTAGTTTTGTAATAAAGTTTGAAATCGGACGATAAAAGTCGTTTAATGATAAGCATTACACAATATTGTGCTAGGGAAAAAATACCACTGGGACTTATGAAATATAACATAACTATTATGATAAGAGATAGAGTCACATTATACCTTTAATTTGGCTACGTAACTTGCTTATATACACGGTTAACACACAATAAAATATATGACATGGAACATTTTTACAATTAGATCAAGCATGCAATACTGTCTGAATGACCAAAGATTCAAAATAATCTAAGTAAAAATGAAGAATTTTCTTGAAATTCAAAAAAATTTAACTAAACTGAATAATCTAGTCTAATATTTCTATTTGTTAATTAGTTTAGTGCCGTAAACTTGATTGATGAATTCTTTATCACAAATTAAAATTAAATGTAAAAAATATTTACCAAGAAATGACTAAAGAATCATTCACATGTTACCCATCAATACCAACCTATTGTGGGAGAGAGAGAACCAGATTGCAGAGGAGGAATAAATTAGGCAGCAGCGGTGAGAGAGTGAACAGGACCCAAATGCGTTACAATACAAGCTCTCATTTAGAATTCTGATGGCCAATGGTTAATAGAAATGTGGTGCGCGCTACTTATAAGTAGTATATGACGTGAGTGTAAACGTAATGTCTGGCAGCAGAAGATGGAGAAGATCAAGAAAGGAAGAGCGGGTGGAACACAACGGAATTTCTATGAAACGCATGAATAGTGAAATGTCAAACAATGGATTGATGATGGATTGAAGATTTGCAAATTAACCGTTTACGATATGGTTTTTGCTTTTTTACTGAGTAACTCTGTAATTTGCGACAAATACAATTCGGTTTCCCTCACCTGTGTTTTCCTTCACAACAGAAAGACTATGAAACACAGTATTCCGAGAAATGGAGACAGACATGAGAAGAATGAGCAACATTTGAACAGAAAGAAGGGCCCAGAACAGAGTAGGTTGTAGAATGCTGGCCGGCGACATATAATTTACTAAGGGTAACAGACATAAGTAAGTATGTGAATAAGCAGACAACTAGCGCTGTTTTAATTCACTTGATATTTTGGTTATAAAAGTTGAATCTAATGTTTATTTAGTTTGAATTATTACTTTTAATCTTAATGGAAATAAATCTTTTCAAATAGTTGCTTTGACTCAGTGGGTTTCCTTTGTTAACTGTGAGTTGCTGAGCAAATTATGCCTACAGATTAGTTATTTTCAAACAAACTAAATTTTCAGTGGTTTGATGGTTAAGTCTCTAATCTATGCTTCAAATCATGTGAGTTTAAATCATATCGGAAAAAAATTCCTTTAGGAGACAAATACACCCTTCTGTTAATCAAACATAATTCAAAAAATTTAGATTCTTTAATCTTCGCTGGTGTCTATTGTATGACATATTATTAAGCAGTTATTAAAACGATGGATAATAGTATTTAAAAGTTAAAAATCTTATTTTGAAATCATTCTAAAATCACATACTTACCTGACGAAAATCCATAGTAATTGTCACTGCATGATATTTTAAACCTTGCGCCAAAGATGGGCTTTGCCACCACAAATTAGCTTCACCGCTGAGAACATATTCGATTGGATGCCGCAGATTAGGATCTTTATCATCGCAATAACCACATTGCACCCATTGTCCACTTGGATCACGATAAGACTTAGCTTCTTGGCTGTAAGTTAAAACTTGCCTTGGTGTCCGATAAAGCCTTAAGCGTTAGAATAATAAAGTGTATTTGATGATAAATACAACACCATTAGTACTTAGCGAATTTTTCAAACAAAAAATATGAGGTTTAAAAAGCTCTGTGGGAATTAATGTTAGTAATTTGGCATAAAATTAGCTAGTATTTTACGAATTGCCAGTATCAGTTTTATTTATTTGCTTAAGCAGTTAAAGAAATATCAATCGAAGTAATTCTTTACTAGTTTAATCAAAGCCCCAACTGATCTAACTTTGGATTACTAGCCTTAAATTACAAAAGTAAATGAACTATCAATCTTTGCTGGGTTCAAGTAACATAAAGCCTTTAATCAGAGATAAGAAGCGGCCAATAACAATATATGAATCCTTTTAAGACTATATTGGGAAGATTTACTTTTTAAGTCAGAAAGATTATACCGGAAACTAGTTAAAGCACATATGTAGCTATAAACCCTTTTTTCTTTCCAATTAAAATGTCTCCAATTTAAATAAAGAAAATTTAAAACAAGTAATGTATACAAATTTTATTCGAAATCTGAGGAAGCGGAACATGTTTGTCTCTAATTCCATTCGATAACTATAAGCCAGCCGCTTATCAAGGACCCCTAAGGCACAGACACATAAGGGATAGCATAGTTGACAATTCGTCAAGAAGTACTGATAAAAACCTTTTTTGATAATAATGCACTGATATCACGCTCATTATTAACATATCATTTCTGGATCAGCCACTTTAAATCCTTATCTACCAAAAACAAACATCAAACTCTATCAGTTTCTTACAACATTTTGTCTAGTGTATAAGTACTTAAGTTCAAGAGATTGAATTTCGTGAGCTGATTTCTTATCTTGATCTGTTCTCCGCCAACCTTATTAACAGATTCTTACTTGAGAATGAAAAGACAGACAGTGTGCTGAAAATTGCTGGGTATAATTAAAATTTGTCAAAGTATGTCCACAGTTAATGGATGACTCTCCTTTAAAGTAATTATCCCCGTGAACTAATACTTAATTTCTAAAATTTCGAAAGCGTTTCAATAAGTCAGCCTTGTTTAATGGGTCGTGAAGCACCCGGGAAATGGTAAAATATTAGGATTTAGCTTAACTGTGAAGAATAAAATACTAAAATTCTCCAAAATGTTTTGATCAGAAAATAGGTTAAATTTCACAAAATGTTCTTACCGACCATCGTATGTATTAAAACCATCAGCATGTTCAACAAGTCGACAGAAGTATTCCTTACGATCTACGCCGCACGTAGCATTCGCTGTAATAATGGCATTTTCTTCCAGAATAGAATCAGGATCCATATCCAGGAAATCTGCTTCATATGGATAACCTGTAAATAAAAAGGTTATATAACAGTGTAAAAATTACCATCATATCTCTGAGAAATCGCAACTTCTGCACTGAAAATAGCAAAAAAGATGAGTGATACTGCAGTTTTCATGATCTTATATTTTAATGTTGATACATTGTTAACAAAAAAATCCTTCAAAACAACGCTTGTTATATTCAGCTGAATTCTACTCAGTAAAACAAAAACGGTGCATTTAAGTTTAAATTTTCAAAAGCTATCAAAAGGCATGCCAGCTTACAGGATGGATAAAATTTTTACAAACACTACCACATTTACAGTGAAAGTTAGCGAAGTTAGATTGCCAATAAGAGCCTGTATCTGATAGCACATTTACACCATGTCACTGACAGGAACAGTTTGACACAGCCACATTTGCAATAAGTGAGTACAAATATGGAAGTTACGCAGAAGAGTTGTTGGGCAGTTTGCGAATTTTAGGGGTGAATTTTTTGAGAAGTGCCAATCGGGAAGCGCTTTATACAAGGTGCATTTTGCGTGGAGGTACCATGGATGTACCACTGAGAGCAGGGTTCTGAGAAGGGGTATAAGAAGAAAAAAAGTGATTCGGGAAAGACAAGGCTACATTTCTAAAATTGAACCGAGTCTGGAACTCATAACAACTATCAAGAAAACACCAAAGTCACAATTTTAAAATAAGATGTCAAGAGAGTTCTACTGAATTGGGAGGAAACTTGGAGAATTACCAAAGCAATCATCCACAACAAGTATTTATTAACAGTTGTCTGTGCAAAACACTTCGGATTCATTGGCCAGACACCATCACCATCAAACGAGTGTGGGGAAGGACAGACTAGATTCCAGCGGAGGAAGAAATCAGGAAGAAGCTCTGGAAGTGGATAGGTCACACATTGCGGAAAGCACCCAACTGCATCACAAAAGAAGCCTTCACTTGGGACCTTCAAGGCCAAAGGAAAAGTGAGAGTCAAGAAACACATAACGCCCGGAAATGGAGGCAGAAATGAGAATAACGAACAAAAATTGGACAGAACTGGAAAGAAAGGCCCCGGACCGAGTGGATTGGATTGTTATTATTTCTCTACTTTGTACTTATATTGAAGTTTTCATGTTAGCTTCTGAACTGTACATATGTTGTTTAAATTTGATATTTAATATGGCTGCAGCCATTTTGGATTTGATACTGTAGCCATTTGGACTGGAAGCACTTATTCTTCCAGAAGCGGATACCCACCAGGGTAATTTCGACTTGGAAGGTGTAACAATTGTTGGGTAAATGTTTGTATTTCCATTTTATAATGAAAATAGACCGATTTCTCCCAGAATTATTGTGTTTTGCTATTGGATCCGGGACGTCGAGTGCCAACCTGCACCTACTGGAAACAAAGTGAACGGCTAGGGTAGAAAATCCATCTACAGCCTGTGTTCCATTGGCGGTGACAAACGTAAGTAAATAAGCTGGAATCTGCCAACTGAAAATTACGGTCGCTTAACTGCTCATATGAAAAACGATGATTATGTGAGAAATAATGTATATCTGAAGACAACATATCTGTAGAATCCTTTTTGAATGTTTTGTTTTTTGGAAAATCCCTCCATGTTTACATATTTTTGTTATGACATGACGGACTTTTTCTGTTGACATTTTTGGTATTTTATTTGATTCCAATTTGAGATTTTATCATTGTATATTGTTATTATTTCTATATTTTGTACTTATATTGAAGTTTTTGTGCTTGCTTCTGGTCTGTATATATGTTGCTTAAATTTGATCTTCAATATGGCTACAGCCATATTTGGATTGATACGGTCGCTGTTGGACTTAACGTCACTTATTGTCGTTGTTTCGGATACTCTTCGGAGTAATTGTAACCTGGAAGGTGTATTAATTCCAGGTACTGCTTTGTATTTCCAGGTTTTTATTAATAAAGACACTTTCTCCTAGAATTTTTGCTTTATCGGGACCTTGGACTGGGAGAAACGAGTTCAGGAGTGCACCTATTGGAACCCATTGGAACGGCCACCGTAGAAATCCATTTACAGTCTGGAATTACCCATCACTTTTGATTAGAAGACCAATTACAGTTGGATTATTAAGAAGAATAAAGAAACATTTGGAAATTTAATCGTTTATAACACTAACCTTCTTGATAGAAGAATCTTGGATTACTTATCGTATTTTCGTATTCGAACTGTATTTGGAAAACGATTTTTTGATTTTGGAAAATTTATACCTGTGGAATTCCTATATTTTGTATTTGTTATTTATCTTCCGTTGAACTTCACTTATAATGTCCAGTCGCAAGAAAACAAACACGAGGAGAGTGGAAGAGCTTGACGTATCCCGAAATGCTAGGCAAGTCGTTATTGATACCTTTTTAATGGGTAACCACTCTGTTAATAACGATGTTATGTCTGATACTTATTATTGTAAGTCACCTTTGGCAGGCATTAAGGAACCAGGATTAAGTGAGAGTTCTAAGATACCAGAGACGGATCAGATACTTAAGACACCGATAGTAGGTTTAGAACTACCTAAGGTCGAACTTACATTTTTTGATGGAAAGTCTCGCGACTATTTTAGATTTATGCGTCAATTTGAGACGTTTATAGAACCTAGAATAAAAGATGAAAATTTGCGTTTATTATACTTAATTCACTATTGTAAGGGAAGGGCAAAAAATGCGATTGAAGGTTGTATTATAATGGATCCACAAGCGGGATATAAGAGAGCTAAGGCCATCTTAAAACAGCTCTTTGGACAGTCGCATGTAATAGCCCGGGAAACCTTAGAGGACTTATTTAGAACTGAGAACGCAGATTTTAATGATCCTGAATTATTGATGAATTTGGCTATTAAAATGCAGAATGCTGCTTTAACTTTAGAACAGCTAAATTGTGCAACGGAACTTCATTCCATGGTTACTTTAGAACGAATAGTCAGGCTCTTACCTCGTCGAATGCAAGCCCAGTGAGCAGAGCTGGGAATCAAGTGGGACGAAGAGGAGAGAGAGCCTAATTTCAATGAGTTGACGGAATTTATTATGTCTCGTGCTAAGATAGCTAGTAGTAGGTTCGGAAGATTAGCTTATCGGGCTAAAACAGGTCATAATACGGAAGCTACTAGTGGTCTGCGTGCGAGACATGAGGATTCTTCGTTTCTACCTAACGCACGCCCGGAAGATAAGAGAGTTGTCAATTATATCACGAAAGCATACGCTGATGAAGGACGAGTATGTGACCGTAACGATGTAAAACCTCTTGATGCGTATCCTAGTAAGAAGCCGGTTGGTGTAACAGATAATATGGCTTTTCTAAGTATGGAAAGAAAGAAAAAGGTGAAAAGTGTAGGCATCAAGATGGATCCGAAGTGTGTGATGATAAAAGCCTCTTAGCTGCTCGAAAAGCCTGGAACGGTTATTTGGATTCGAGTAAACAGAGGTTAATGAATTCAGTAAATATGAATAAGGCCCAGGCAGGATTGTCTGGACGGAATAAAGCCTATGTTCGGAACCCTTCACTTAGGGTAAATTATATGACGGGACCTAGAGTAGATTCTAGGATAAGTGATGGCGGTACTGTAAAGGCTAAGAAGCCTAGGAGACAACATGATGCTACTATTATTAAGAAGCCTAAACATCATTCTCTTTCGGATGCTATGACTAGCAATGGAAATAGTAGTCATCAGAATCTTAGTAGTGACAGCGATAATAAGGAGACAGAAAGTGTCTGCAGTCCACTTATAGTGACTAGTCGATTAACTTCATCGAACGAGCCTCCTAGTGTTTCGACGTCATCGGACCCCGTCACGAATGTTAAGTTGATTGAGGATACACAAGGTTGTGTAACTGTAAGTGTCCCTATTTCGGTTGACTGTCAGTCAAGTGATGATAAGAAGGAAGCGTCTGATGGTAACAACCAATCTACAGTGTTGCATGATAATGATGCTATTGATGAGCATATGTCTTGTGTCTCTGAAACGGAACATGAAGAACAACAAGTGAGTATATCAGTTTCGAATTGCGATACTAATGCTGTTCTTTCATGTAGTGATATGAGTTATACAAAAATGGAAGAGTTCCACTCTACGGATGCTAGTGCAGACCGAATCGACGCGACTTGTCTGACAGAACGGAATCATGATGACGTTGATAATAATCTGGATGTCACTGATGTGACAAATAAGTTACCGACGATGACGAATGCTGATCAAACCTCCTCTGTATCAGGAGATGGAGAGATAAATATTGATCCCATGTTATGCTACTTAAAGTCTTCTGGAGACGATGAAATGTCAAAATTGGAGATCCCACCCTTGCATATTATCTATGGGTCAAGAACTTCTGTTGATAAGTCAGCATCACGGACTTCATTGTATCTGCTGATCGGAGCAAGTGGTGGTGGATTGGTGACTCATCCCCATGATATGGAATGTAGTTCCCGGATAGGATATGACCAGTTTTACGACGTGTTGTACATGTTCGTGTGGGTTAATTGGGTAAGGTTTATACTACCGTTAGGTCATGCTACGATAGATAGGGGAATCAAGGGCCTGATGGGAAGGTATAGGTACCTAGTTAGCTTGATAGGTCATATCCATGTTGGATGGCGGGTAGGCGTACTGCTGTAAGTCCTACACGTTCTTCCGGTGTGGATTAGGGGATGAGTGGGAACTCTAAATAGAAGTGTCATTACGCTTGCTTTTTTTGCATGGAGGGATTTTGTGGGCCGGTGTAGAATCCTTTTTGAATGTTTTGTTTTTTGGAAAATCCCTCCATGTTTACATATTTTTGTTATGACATGACGGACTTTTTCTGTTGACATTTTTGGTATTTTATTTGATTCCAATTTGAGATTTTATCATTGTATATTGTTATTATTTCTATATTTTGTACTTATATTGAAGTTTTTGTGCTTGCTTCTGGTCTGTATATATGTTGCTTAAATTTGATCTTCAATATGGCTACAGCCATATTTGGATTGATACGGTCGCTGTTGGACTTAACGTCACTTATTGTCGTTGTTTCGGATACTCTTCGGAGTAATTGTAACCTGGAAGGTGTATTAATTCCAGGTACTGCTTTGTATTTCCAGGTTTTTATTAATAAAGACAC